AGCTGCTGAAGGCCTGTTAGCGATGCTAATTAACTATTACCTGAATACAATCACATGTGCTGAGGCTCGGATAATCCTTCAAGTAAGGGACTCATCTCTACAATGGTTAGGACTCAAACAAGAGCTACGCAATAGAGTCAAATCCAACACTCTGAGATTATTCAACCCTGATCACATGTGACTTTAACTTATTCACCTAACAGTTAACTCCCATCACTTCCAAGCCCACATAGCACAAAGCAAACAACATTTGGACGTAAGAAAGAAAATCTCAAGCAACTCTATCCTCGTGGAGAGAACTGAACTAGCATACAATGCGAAACTCGTACTATCAGGAATAACCTAAACAGGCTACCCTACTGCTGTCTGCTCAACTCTAGCATGCAACTCTTTCATTTACTGAAGCACATAAAGTAGGCACATAAGGCATCACTCCTAGATCCTTAGTCCTATTCTAGCATGTTGTTCTACAGAAACTGATAAACATAAATAAACTTGTATGGGTACATTGGGGAATACTTACTTGAGCTTGGCCGGTCGCGCACATCACACACATTGTTCTTTCTTAAAACCCTTTGCTTAACCTTTTAGAAAACATTTTCTCTTTCCAAAATCTTTTAATCCCTCGATTTGAGTTCAAACATCCCCGAAGGTGTGTCCGAATCCCTTAAACCAGGGCTCTGATACCAACTTGTAACGACCCAATTTTCACGTCCAAAAATTTCGTTTTTAAAACATTACTTTAGAAAACATTAATAATTAAAAACATTGTTTGATCAACCACATCACATCGTAAACCATGTCTAAAAGCCAAACATACAACCAATCAAAATATCAGAGTATAAATCCCAGAGAAATCTAATAGATGCGGAAACCAGCGTGTGTGCATGATGTGCCGCTACCGTGCCAGCTCCTTCCCCTTCGATGAAGAGGTACCTAAAACCAAAACTGTAAACTGTAAGCACAAAGCTTAGTGAGTTCCCCCATTGTACCACATACCATACAATCACATAACATACATAAATTGTTAGGCATATTTGGGTGCCCGACCTACCCCTTCGGTCCTCTCGACCGGATACTGCCTAGCATATCTGGGTGCTGACCTCCCCTTCGGTCCTCTCGATCGGATACTGCCTAGCATATCTGGGTGCTGGCTCTCCTTCGGTCCTCTCGACTGGATACCGGGGACTATTTCACCCCCTACTACTACCACATAACACATATATCACATAGTCTATCTAGCATGGTTGGGCATGATCGCCCCTTCGACCCTATCGACCGGTGTTCTGGGGGACTATCTCCCCCTACTGTCACTAACATATAAACATAACACAGGTAGTAGCAACCCTAGATGAATATCACAAAGACAATCATCTAATCACACATCTCCTACCGGTGGGCCAACATTGTGGCCTTAGACCCACCGCTACTGGAAGGTAACTCACCTCGTAGTAGCTGCTGATCTGTGTGGGAATAGTCTGTCTGCTGCTGTTGCTCCGAAAATCCTCCGGCTGAAATTCCCACCAAACACTTAGTCAAATACTGCTAACTGTCCTTTGGGTAAAATGACCATTTTACCCCTGATAATGTCCTAAGTCAAAGTCAGAGTCAACTTTCAGTTGACCCGACTCGCCGAGTTGGCTTGCCAACTCGCCGAGTCCATGTCCAAACGACTGATCTGGATTCTGCTTCTACTCGTCGAGTTAGGCGTTGACTCGACGAGTTCTCCTTCTAAACTAATGTTCAAGTCATTCATCCTACTCGCCGAGTTGTATGAACAACTCGCCGAGTTCATCTTCATCCGATGAACAATTTATACTGTGACTCGCCGAGTTGTATGAACAACTCGCCGAGTCTGTTCTTGATCTAAGGAGATTGCCTTGAACTCGCCGAGTCTGGGCATCGACTTTCCGAGTTCCATTATGGGTGAGTTTTGGCTTCCAACTCACCGAGTCTACCCTGGACTCACTACACAACTCGACACAGCTAAAAGGGGACAATCTCGGAGACTCGCGACTAGACTCGCCGAGTCAGATGAGCGACTCGCCGAGTCTGCTTCATGCAAGAGCCATAAACGCGATTTTGCTCGAATCCAGTCCATGCCATTCGTAGATCTGGGCTCCTAGAGCATGAATAACACGTAAAGTTTCCAACTTTACGTGTAAATATCCATCTATGAGGGTTTTAGGGTTCAAAATGCACCAAAAGAGTAGATCTAAGGTTTTCATGCAACATGGGTCCATAAAGACAGTAGATCTGAGCTCCTGGAGCTCAACTATGCTTAGATCTAGAGGTTACTCAGCTTATTACGAACCCCCAAATATACACAAGCTTGGAAATGGTTCAAGAAAGACTTTAATGGAGCTATAAGGTACTATAAGCATGAAAGCAAGGGGAAAATCGAGTCATACCTTAGGGAACACACTGAGAAAGCTCAAAGATGCTTGACATCCTCTTCTTCTTCTTGATCTACTCTTTTTCTCACTCCAAAACTTCAAGAGAGCACACCAAATGCTTCAAACTCACAAAGAAACAACTCTTGAATAAGGTATAGGGCTCTGAGGGTGAATGGGGGCGAGATTGGGGCGGAATGAGAGTTTAAATAGGGTGCAAACACCCTTGAAACTTAGGGTTTCATCCAACAGCGGTGACTCGCCGAGTCCAGGATATGGACTCACCGAGTCGCCAACTTAAAACGTGTCCCGGGTCCCGGCTCTACTCGGCGAGTCGGACCTATGACTCGCCGAGTCCAAGGCTAAAAATGGAAAACACTCAAATAAAATTTACATACCAGGAACCAGGTGCTACAGTTTATATAAACAAGACTAATAAAGCACGACGTATTTATTTTATTAAATTTATTTTCAGGTGAAATTCAAAAAAAAAAAGTTATATATTTCGGGTAATACCCGAATTACCCAAACCCGACCCGATACCCGAATTACCCGAATCTAGTTTGGGTAAGGTAACGGGTAATTTTTCTAACATGAAAAACCCGAATTACCCGAAACTCGAAAAAATTACCCATTCAACACCCCTATGTCATGGGCACCCCTACATGGTCTTATAACCAAGTGTCATGGGCACCCTCATGGTCTTTACCTGGAAAGCCATGGGCACCCCCACATGGTCTTATAACCAAGTGTCATGGGCACTCCCATGATCTTTACCTGGAAAGCCATAGGCACCCCCACATGGTCTGACATCCAAGTGCCACGGGCTTCCCCCGAGATCTTCAATGCAAGTATCACAAGACAACTAGCATATCACGTACCACATAATCAACTAGTATACCACATAATTTTATGTTATCAAGGAAAGTGAAACATTTTAACAAAACAATTCTAAAAACCAAACCCTATCTTACTTATTCGTCAAAATCAATTGCAGCCGAAACTCCATATCTCCGTCAAAATTGAATTGCAACTAACATCACACTCAACTCATCTTATCCATCTCTTTGCCAGGTATGTGTATCGCTACAACTATCGATCTCGATGTCTCTCACTCTGAATATCTGGCGCTCTCTCTCTCTCCCCCTCTTAAATTGCTGTAAAAAATCGATGGTTTTCTATTGATTGAACCCCGTTTCTTGCTGTGAAAATCCATATATGTGAAAATCGAATATGTGAAAGTCGAAATTGGGCTTTTTATCTTCCTAAAAATCGATTAAGTGAAAATTGAATTTGTCAATTTTATGTTAAAATCGAGTATGTAAAAACAACAAATCGAATCCAGTGAAGATCGATGCTTATTCAAAATCTATTGTTTATGTGAAAACAATATTGTTTATCTTCTTGAAAACCAGATTGTTCTCCATTAATCAATGAAAATAGTTTGTAACAACAACAAATGCTTCCTGATTTTGTTCATCTTTTTTTTAACAACAACATTTGTGAAAACGAATGGTGCTATTTAACAACAATAGCAAAATGCTTCCTGTTTACACTTTCAATGTTATATTTACTTGTAGAAAATTACATTACAACCTTAATATGATATGAATTTGTATGAACATAAAATTATCCATAATACAACAATGCAAATTGAGGAAATTTCACCAAGTGTTCGCTTTAATAAGAGGAAACTTCGTACTTACGATGTGTTCCATAATGCGTTGGTTTAATTACTGAAACTCTTAAAGAAATATCAAAGGACTTGAATCAAGGTATTAAATTTGACATGAAGATCAATGAACTGAGTGAGAAGATCCATCCGGAGATTTTAAAGATGAATTCATTAAGTTAAGCTGAGAAGTTCAAGGCTTTGACCAAGATAAGAAGTGATCCTATAAACGTACAAAATTTTTGGCAAATTGAAGAAGGCGATAGAGAGGTTTGGGTCAAATACATTTTGGAAGGATAATATTATTAATTAGGATGCTTATTAGGATGTTAATTCGGATTTTGGATTTTTAAGTTCTTTTAGAATGTTTATTATGATGTTGCTTGATATTTTGTATTTTTAAGTTTTATGTATCTTCGATAGGAATGTATCGAAATATTGTTATGCTTTTTGGTAACATTATTATGATGCGAAGTTGAATGACTTTAAGTTATGATGTTTATTAATATGATTTCCGTAATATATTGGCATGAATGTTCAATCAATAAATTAAATTTTTACTATTTTAATAATTTATATAATATATGTTTACATATAACTTATAAAACAAAGTAAAATGACGAGACAAAATGATAATTTTGTCATTTAACATAAATTCCAATTCTATTTTCCAGCCAACCGTTTCATAAACCCTAAACCCTAAATCAAACAAAACATAGAATTAAATTCAAATTCTTGACAGATTCCGTTTTCAATTCCACTTCTTCCACCATCATTGTGAACCAAACAACACCTGATAACATGGTCCATACGAAAGTAAAAAGACTTCTAGCTCGTAGTTCAATTGGACATGTAGGTTATATTCGGTTTCTCATGTGGAACCATACTTAAACTCGAATTGGGGTGGGGTTTCACACATTTTCTCAAATTGTTAAAGAAAATAAAGCTTAGTGGCTAAATTGCAAATATTGCAAACTTATGTGACGATGCCTTTCTAGTTTCCACCCTATTTGTTCTGGAAATTTCTTTTTGCTTATGGTAACACGAATAAATCACCGCCACACTCGCCAACAAAGCGATTGAAACACCTTGTTCTACACTCGCTGAAATCTCACTAGAATTCTCCAATATAATTCACACGCATAAACCCTAGGATGCGTAAACAATTATTTATGCATATTGTGAAATTTTCTTTTTTATGAATTCCGATTTTAGCTAATTTTGAAGCATTTTTTCGTTTCCCTCCACAGATCTCTGAAAAATTCATCAATCGGAACCGTAACTCGAGTAAAATTTCACTGTACATACACTGATTCGATTTTTTCATAGCGTATTTGGTTGAATTTCATATAGTGATCGATACGGCGTCATGATGGAATTAGGTTTTTATGTTTACTCAATTTTGATTTACGGATGATCGATAATGCCTCAATTGCGTAGCGGAGTACGCATAGGGAGACCATCGAAACGACCGATTGCTGCTGATAATACCAAACCGAAGCCAGTCAAAGAGGAAGAGAAGAAAACGATCAAGAAAGGGAGAAAAGCTAATAGGAAAACAGGACAAATTAATCCAGTCGTACAGAAGAACGGACGGGGAAGGAAGAAAGCGGCGGTGGTGAGCGATGAAGACGCCGATGAGAAGAATGCAGTAAGAACGACGCCACAGGAAGAAGAGAAAGATAAAAACGAAGGATTAGCAGCGGCGGAGATAAAGAAGGAAAAAGAAGAAGAGGAGGAAGTTGGGGAAAAGGAGATGGATGACTACGATAGTGCAGGCCTGAGCGCCGATAAGAATTTGGGTGCTGAAGAAGAAGGCAGCACTGCGCCACTTCCTGAAAGGGTAAAAGTCTATTCTCTTTCAATTTAAGTCTTAATTTTATCTATTAAAATAATAACTGGAAGGTTATATATCCTAACACTTTATATGATTAGACATTTGCTTCTGTCATCATGGATTGGATTTTTGCTAATATTCAATGGCTTGATGCCTGAGTAATTTAATAGTATTTTATCCCATCTGATGGAATTTATGGTCTGTTCTAGCTTTATAGATTCTCTTACATTGCTTTTCAGGGATTTAATTGCTTAAAGTCAAGCTTGTGTTTATTTGGTTTATTCATTGTGTTTTTGGATTTTGGTTTCATATCCCCTTCAAATATTCTACAGCTTTTTTAATCTAACAGTTGATTAATTTTGGCTGTTATTGAGTATCAAAAAATGAAGTTTTTTGTATATGAACAATAGATGTGGATTGAAGTCTTATCCCTGAAGCATGTTTTGAGTACATTCAGTTAAACAAGGCATTTTTGTCTATATGGGTTTTAAAATTATCTTTCATTCTGTCCACTTTGCTTAATAATGTGTATGTCTTTCATCAACAACAGGTCCAAGTTGGTAGTTCCCCATCATATAAGATTGAGAGAAAACTTGGAAAGGGAGGATTTGGGCAGGTATATGTTGGGAGACGCATGAATGCACCAGTTCCTAATGAAAGAACTGGTCCTGGAGCAATAGAGGTATCACATAGTATTTTTTGGTTGCATATTCTCATATAATAGTTGCAAGAATGAATAATGTCATCTAATCTATTACATGTGATTCAAAAGGTTGCATTGAAATTTGAACACAGAAGCAGCAAAGGATGTAACTATGGGCCACCATATGAATGGCAGGTTTACAAGTAAGTCAATTCGTTTTTCCATTTCAACTTTTGTATGCTTTGACATTTTTGGTTCTCAAATGGCTAAATTGATGATTTATTGGTGTGTAATGTTCAGTGCTCTTGGTGGAAGTCATGGTGTACCACGTGTACATTTTAAGGGTAGGCAAGGTGAATACTACATAATGGTATGTATTTAACTTCATTCTTTTTGTACAATATTCACTCTTTATTGGATGCTAGCTAACATTTATACTTTTTTTTAAGGTCATGGACATGCTTGGACCTAGCTTATGGGATGTCTGGAATAACAACTCACACACGTAATTTCCCATTTCACTATGCCTTTTAAAGAGATTGAATAAACTACATTTTTGGTCCCTGTGCTTAGTATTGTTTTTTAGTTTTGATTCAAGAATGAATCTTGTTTCATTTTTTAGTCCAAATTTTCTGCTTTGTTTTTAACCATTAACCAGTTACAATCTATTGATACTTTATTAACTATTTCATTTTTTTTAGGATGTCGACTGAAATGGTTGCATGCATTGCCATTGAAGCCATCTCAATATTAGAAAAGATCCACTCTAGAGGGTAGTCTTTATTTATTTATTTATTTAATTTTTAACTTTTCAACACAGTATGGTATCTATAATGATATAATCTAAAGTTAACGATGTCTTGCAATTTGCAGGTATGTACATGGTGATGTTAAACCTGAGAATTTTTTGCTTGGTTCTCCAGGAACATCAGATGAGAAGAAACTATTTCTTGTTGATCTTGGTTTAGGTAAATCATTAATCTTTTTGGGTATTTTTTCACAAACATTTATATATATATTAATCAATGCAACAAAAAACTAAAACATAATTTTATATTTCAGCCACCAAGTGGCGAGATACTTCATCTGGATCTCATGTTGAATATGATCAAAGACCAGATGTTTTTAGGTACGTTTGTGATGATCTTTTCTTGTTTCCTGTTATCTTTCTTTTTTTCCATTTAATTTTAATTTGAGTTTATTTATTCAGGGGAACTGTTCGGTATGCAAGTGTACATGCTCATCTTGGAAGAACAGGAAGTCGAAGGGATGATTTGGAGTCACTTGCTTATACGCTTGTGTTTCTTCTTCGTGGTCGACTACCATGGCAAGGATTCCAGGTTGACTTTTGACTTTTTGACTTTTTGACTTTTGTATTCTGGAAAGTATCTTGCTATTCTTCTTACATGGTGGTTTATTTTATTTAGGGAGAAAACAAAGGGTTCCAAGTTTGCAAGAAGAAGATGGCAACTCCTCCAGAAACACTCTGTGCCTTCTGTCCTGCTCCATTTCGCCACTTTGTTGAATATGTTGTGAATTTGAAGTTTGATGAGGAACCGAATTATGCAAAATATATTTCACTTTTTGATGGAATTGTTGGCCCAAATCCTGATATTAGGCCCATCAACACCGAAGGTGCTCAAAAGGTATGTGTTCAAAATTTACGTATGTTTGAATGAAGGCGGCATTTAACTTCTGTTGGTGTGAAAAGTTGAGAATACCCTTCTCAGCAACATGTTTGTATGTATGCTGTTACAGCTTATGTATCAAGTTGGGCACAAGAGAGGAAGATTTACAATGGAGGAAGGAGATGAAGAACAACCAAAGAAGAAGGTTCGAATGGGAACACCTGCAACTCAATGGATAAGTGTTTACAATGCACGTCGCCCAATGAAACAGAGGTAGGACTCTTTTTGTGTGTGTGTGTGTGTGTGTGGTGGAAAGCACGTAAAAAAGTTTTTGAGAAATTTGTTGTGTGTTGTAGGTATCATTATAACGTGGCAGATGTGAGACTTCATGGACATATTCAGAAAGGAAATGAAGATGGATTATTCATCAGCAGTGTGGCTTCTTGTCAAAACTTATGGGCTCTTATCATGGATGCTGGAACTGGATTCACTCATCAAGTTTATGAACTCTCCCCCATGTTTCTCAACAAGGTTCATCATGCATTCCTTGTTTTTAGGTCCTGTTTGTTTGTTTGTTTGTTTGTTTTTTTTCCATAAACGATTCATTATTATGTTAATGAAGGATTGGATTATGGAACAATGGGAGAAGAACTACTACATAAGTGCAATAGCAGGTGCCAACAATGGGAGCTCCTTGGTTGTAATGTCGAGGGGTAAGGGCAAAATTGTTATATTTATCTTTTTTTAAGTCATAATTGTTCTTGTATTTATGTTTGTGTGTGTGTAAGTAGGTACTCAATACATTCAGCAGTCGTATAAAGTGAGTGAAGCGTTTCCATTTAAGTGGATAAATAAAAAATGGAGAGAGGGGTTTCATGTGACTGCTATGGCAACTGCAGGAAGTAAATGGGCAATTGTTATGTCCCGTGGTGCTGGATTTTCTGATCAGGTTTTTTTTTTTCTTCCAGATTTAAAACACAGCTCCTTTACAAAATTTGAGTCCTAGTTTTTTAATAATAGTGTTACTGTGTTGATTTAACAAAAGTGTTGGTGGGTTGATTGGTATTTTTATACATATTTAATAAGTGAATTGATTTGATTGCAGGTGGTGGAGCTGGACTTTTTGTATCCGAGTGAAGGTATTCATAGAAGATGGGATGGTGGATATAGGATAACATCAACCGCTGCAACCTGGGACCAGGCTGCTTTTGTTCTTAGTGTCCCAAGAAGAAAGCCTGCAGATGAGACACAGGAAACATTGCGCACTTCCGCGTTTCCTAGTACACATGTTAAGGTCAGCACTCACCTTTCCTGTTTTATTTTTACGATAATAATAAATATCATTTCTTATGCATGACATACATACATTTGCAATTTCTAATCTGAAAAGGTGGGAAGAGTTTTTGCTTTTCATCTCTTGTATATAAGGCTGTAAACGAACCAAACGAACACGAACAAGGTCTTGTTCGTGTTCGTTCGTTTAAGTTAGCCGAACAACAAACGAACACGAACGGATAAACGAATGAGATTTTCTTGTTCATGTTCGTTCGTTTAACAAATTACTTTGTTCATGTTCGTTCATTTATGTTCGTGAACATGCTAAATGAACAAACATAAACAAACAAAGATAATAAAACACAATTGAACATGAACATATATTATAGCAATATATTAAAAAATAATTGAATATAGATGAATATAAATAAACTTAAACGAACGAACATAAACGAACGTTCACGAACATAAGTGAACAAACGAGACCATTGTTCATGTTCGTTCATTTAACTAAACGAACGATAATTTTTGTTCATGTTCGTTCATTTATTAAATAAACGAACATAAACGAACTTCCCGCCGAACAGTTCACGAACGGTTCGCCGAACGTTCAGTTCGTTTACAACCCTACTTGTATGTGCAAAGGCTGAAAATGCTCTTTTCATCTTTCATCCCTTGTCATGATATATGATGATTCATGATATGGAGAAGGGTGTTTTTGTCTTTTCCATCTTTTTCATTTACACAAAATTTTCAAATATTGCCTCATTGACCTTAGCTTATTTATTTATTTGAGTTGATTTAATAACTAATAAATAATATAATGATGCAACAGGAAAAATGGGGGAAGAATCTGTATATTGCTTCAGTTTGTTATGGTCGGACGGTGTCATGAGATGTCACAGTCGGTTTAGTTTTACGTTCATCTACATACAGATCTATCTATCTGGGGCCTAGAGTTGTGAATTCAGATGTTTCTCTACTAGAAGCTGCTACTACTTACTAACTAACGTAAAAGCAAGTTTTTTCTTTCTTTCTTTTTTTTTTTTTTTACCAAATTTTGTACATATTGATAAGGGTTTTGGTTTTGGTTTTGGACTACAATCGCACATGGACTGAGTGTGCACGTACGTCTTATCTTTTATCTTTTCTTTTGGATCATGAATGAATGCTATATGTTTTTTTCTCCTTGTTTGGATTTGAACTGATTCTAACATACCTGGCTCGACATATGAAAATCATTTCCTTGCCAAGTTTAAAATAACTAAATATACAAAATACAAAAACTCCAAACCAATATAAAAGGAAAAATGATTTAGGAGGGTAATTACTTTTTATCCATGTTCATATATCAGTAATTTCTTTTTTTTTGTACATAAAAAAACAACTATCTTGTTTTACTTGTTTAAATTACATCAATACTATCAGTTAATATCAATTTTAACCGGTAAGTCAAATTAACTAATTTAAAAGAAAATATGTGGTATATGATGTTTATGTTACATATTTTGTCCGAATTCCATTTCATTTAATTAGGGTGAGTCGACATCATTTAATTAGGGCTCTTAACAATTAATTATTATTATTTTTTTTTGAGAAATCACTTGATCGTAGGAGTTCATTGTTTGGAAATAAAGTTGGAATTGAAAATCGTCGACTGTACACGCTACAATGGAATCATCTAATGTTATGTATTTCACTTAGGGCTGTAAACGAACTGAACGTTCGGCGAACCGTTCGTGAACTGTTCGGCGGGAAGTTCGTTTATGTTCGTTTATTTAATAAATGAACGAACATGAACAAAAATTATCGTTCGTTTAGTTAAATGAACGGACATGAACAATGGCCTCGTTCGTTCATTTATGTTCGTGAACGTTCGTTTACGATGTTCATTTACGTTTGTTTATGTTCGTTCGTTTAAGTTTATTTATATTCATCTATATTTAATTATTTTTATTATATTGCTATATTATATGTTCGTTTATGTTCATATATGTTTAATTGTGTTTTTTTATCTTTGTTCGTTTATGTTTGTTCGTTTATGTTCGTTTAGCATGTTCACGAACATAAATGAACGAACATGAACAAAGTAATTTGTTAAACGAACGAACATGAACAAGAAAATCTCGTTCGTTTATCCGTTCGTGTTCGTTTGTTGTTCGGCTAACTTAAACGAACGAACATGAACAAGACCTTATTCGTGTTCGTTTGGTTCGTTTACAGCCCTAAATTTTCACTATTGATTTTTACTACAACGGAATGTTTGCACCAAACTTGTTAGTGTACTTATGTAACATCCGGAATCCCAGGTATATTATTTAATAATTATATTTTTGAATTATGAGAAGGAACTCGGCGAGTTGATGCGTAGACTCGCCGAGTAGGGTCGTGATTGGTCATCCGGATTTACTTTGGACTCGCCGAGTTTTTGTGGAGCCTATTTAAGGTACTCTTAGCCTCCCATAAAGCATACTAGATGGAAGTCTCTGAACCTCTTTGAGTCCAGATCCAAGCATAGACTCGATAGGAGACCAATGGCTTCGCAAAAACATCCTCAAAAAGGGTTAGAAAACCCTAATCTCTAGGTTCAATACCAAAACTAAAGAAAAGTCGAATGAATACCTCAAGTTGGAATCTTTGGACTCTGAAACCACTTGAACCACCTCCTTCAGCCTTCTCTTGCTCTTAATCACCTCCTTTTTGCCAAACCAAGGAAAGAAAGATCAATACAAGCTTCTTCTTCCTTCCAAACGATATAGATTACTAAGGGAGCTCTCAAGGTACTGGTAGCCGCAATGGGAGGCTAAGAGTACCCTTAAATAGGCTCCAACCCCGGAGGATTTAGGGTTTCATTAAACAGCGTCGACTCGCCGAGTCCAAAGTAAATCCGGATGACCAATCACGACCCTACTCGACGAGTCTACGCATCAACTCGCCGAGTTCCTTCTCATAATTCAAAAATATAAATATTAAATAATATACCTGGGATTCCGGATGTTACAACTTAAACTTGTGATAATAGATTAAAAGAACCACACACATAATCTCGTGTGAGCTTTGTATATATAATGGATAATTACAAAACAAAGGATAAGCTATAAAATACAAGATAAATACAACATTTAACAGGTGTAGATCGACATTATCTAATATGTCCCCTCAAGTGAATGGGTGGTAGCTAATGAGTGGTGGACCAAGATGTAGCATAGATCGAAAGAACTCAAACTAAGATCGTGGAAGACTTTTGGTAAAAAAGTTCGCCACTTGAAGTTTTGGATGAGAGCCTCCATCTCGTCACACATGGATGCCATCCAATGAGGGTGTTTAGCTGCCGATTTGTACCCTTTATGTGGAATATCTTAGAGAAGTGCAACATGTAAGGCATGCAATACAAGAGATAGAAAATCAAGAGTATGTTTGGTCACAATAAGGCCTGATTTTGAACGAGTTTGCATTGGGTGAGTTGAGACAGAGTCGGTAGGAGCAGATTGCACAGTAGAAGAGGGAAGTGACGCATCGTTATCGGATGATGGAGAAGAGGCAGTTGGGTTGTTGATGTGTCCAGAGACCGGCGAGGGAAACATAAGGGTAGTAGATGGACAAAGCCCACATGACATAGCGGGCCTTTGTAAAATCGTGGGTTGATATGGCGTCGGCTGGGTCGTTGGAGAAGAGGCATTTGGTGCGGAGGCAACATGAGGTAGCCCATCATCCAGAAATGAGCTGAGTTCGAGTGTAGAAACAGGCACATGAGATGCAGTAGTCAAAAATAGGAATGTGGATTCATTAAACCTCGCATGAAGAGTGATATATATACGAGAGCTTTCCGGGTCAAGTCATTTATATCCTTTATATTTGATTATTGTACCCAATAAAAATGCAAGGGATACTTCTAGGAGCCAATTTGTGTGAAGAATAATTACGAAGGTATGGATACACAAGACATCCAAAGGTTCGAAGGTTGGTGTAGGTGGGAAGCCAAGAATAAAGGAGCTCAAATGGAGAGTGATCATCTAGAACTTTTGTGGGCAGACGGTTTATTATATAGGTTGCGGAGCTAAAAGCATCAACCAAATAAGAGGCTGGTATGTAGCCATGAAAGAGCATGGATTAACCGGTTTCAATAATGTGCCAGTGCTTACGTTCAGCCCGTTCGTTTTGTTGAGGTGTATACGGACATGAAAGACGATGAAAAGTTCCATTTTCTTCAAAAATTGTGCGTATTGTATTATTTACAAATTCCGTTCCTCCATCGCTCGGAAAAAATTTGTATTTTCGAGAGAATTGAGTTTGGACAAGAGTGATAAAAGCTTTCCACACGGCATATAATCCATTTTTTGGTTTTAAGAGGTTAAAACCACGAGAAGCGAGAATAATCATCCACAAAGACTACACAATATAAATAACCATCAGAGATAACTAGTGCATGCCCCAACAAGTCACAGTGAATCAAATCCAAAGGGTGTAATGAACGTTTAGAATTTAAATCAAATGATAAATTTTGACTTTTAGAAAGTCGACAAGGTTAACATGAAATTGGTTTAGGCAAGACATAAGTAACATGTAAAACACCTAGTTTATTTAGTAAGCTAATAAACTCAAAAGAGACATCTCCTCAACGATTGTGCCATAATTCAAAATGAGCTTTCTTCGAAACACCAGAAGTTGCCATGAAAGCCATTGGAGTGTCTCGAAGAACATACAATCCATCTTCACATAGGCCCTGTGCGATCACTTGTTTTATTTTCCTATCCTAAATGTGAAAGAAGGGTTGAGAAAACAAGACATCAACCGGGTGATCCAAGTTAAGCTTGCTAATTGATAATAAACTTTTGGTCAATTTGGGAATAACAAGAACATCACGTAATAGAAGATTGTTCGAAATAGATGAGTGACCAATATGAGAGACAGGTAAATGATGACCATTGCTAAAGATAACTTTCATATTACCCGTGTGAGGAGCCGAGTGAGATATATGCTGAGTAGAGGGTGTCATGTGAGCTGTCGCCCAGGTCTACGTACCAATCGGGACTTCCAGTATTGACATGACATTGAGAGGTGAACACATGTGCTAAGTTAGAATCATTCACAGGGGCATTATTGGCATAAGTGTGCAAGTTTGGGCATAAGGAGGCATAATGCCCATTATTTCAGCAAAGCTGACAGTGAGGAGGAGGACGACCTCCTCTTCCTCGTCCGCTGTTTGAGAACCCTCGAGAGTGTCCACCACGAGAACTGTCACAACCACGATTGCTAGAGAATTTGGATTGTTGAGAAACAATGGTAACCGGTGGAGTAGTGGTTGCGTGTAGAGTTTGAAGAAATAATTCATGCCCCTCGGCTTGAGCTACAAGATCACAAAAACTTGGTGCAGTTTTGGTATTATGTATGACGGTGGAAAAGGTCTCAAAAGAAGCACCCAATCCACAGAGAAACCAATGGATTTTATCCATGTCATCATTCGGGTATCCAATTGTAGAAGGTTTGTCACAATAATGTTTAAACTTTTGACTATAATCATAAACTAAAGAAGTACCTTTGGTCATGGTGCGTAGAGAGTCACAGAGAGAGTGAATACGTTCAACAGGAGGAGTTGTTGTATGTTTTTTCTAAGGAAGACCAAATGGCATGTGTTATAGATAAACCAAGGATCTTGGTTGCTGCTTCTTCGGTGAGAGATGAATTTAGAAGGATTAGTGCACGTTGATCTAGTTCTGGCCATGTAGAGTAGTCAGGGTTGGAGGTGGATTTACCTTAAACCTGAATCTATTATGATGGGGTAATGGATGTGCCATCAATATGGGAAGTAAGATTTTGATAAGAAAAGAGGGGAATCATTTGATTCTTCCAGAGCAAATAATTGGTAGAAGAAAGTTTGATAGGAATCATGTGTAAGAGGGTATTCATGGTAAAACTACTGTCGTGCGAAGTAGACATAACGAAGCTACTAGGAAAAGAAAAGGGAAAGAAAAAATAGAGGTAGGGTTTGAGGAAGAACAAGAAGGATGAAGAAGAAGATAATAAGAGAGTTTGTTAGGCTGATACCATGTGATAATAGATTAAAAGAACCACACACATAATCTCGTGTGAGCTTTGGACATATAATGAATAATTACAAAAACAAAGGATAAGCTATAAATTACAAGATAAATATAACATTAACAGGTGCAGATTGGCATTATCTAATAAGACCCTATGAGAATGTCAGTTCATGATGTTGATTTTGGTGGCATGAACTATAGAGAAGTTGTGTTGTGGGTTTCAAAGCTGACAAGACGAAGCTATGATAATTTATACTATTGTAGTATTCATGAAAGTTTGGCAGAGGATATTAGAAGAATCGACAATTATGCTAATTATTTTGAGTTTATTGAAGATGGTTACATGGTTAAGAACGAGCTAAGAATGAATGTTTACATTGACCACCAAAACGAACCTATTCTTGATTGGACCGATAAGGAGATGTTAACAGGTGATGTGGTGTATGAGTTGGTAGAAAATGATTGATAAATTCAAAATTCTTAAATATTTTGATAGTTATGCATATATTTATTATTTATTTATTTAAATTAGCCCATCTCACAAAAGATTTATTTTTTTAGGTTTTTACTTTTTCAACTACATTTTCATTTTTGGCGTATTTCCTTCTTTCTCGCGACCTTGCCCATCGGCGGCCTAGGGTTTTGTATTTTCAAACTACAGCAGTTTTGCCTATAAAATCAAATCATCTGCTCAGATCTACTTCAGCAGTATAGTTTTAGGGTTTTAGTCTTACATGTATCAACACCAGACTTCTTTCAAAAAGCGAATTGGCTGAAGAAAAGGCTCGATCTAAATCAGATATACAGTCGTCTAGTGTTGCAGTTCAACATTTGTCTATCTTTTGTCAATCGCTGTTTCTGCGTCATATCGACGAATATAGATAATCAATAAATCAAATATAGATATTAGTTCATAATCTCGCATTTTATGCCTTCCCACATCGAGTTAAAATGATTTATGTTTAGATTTTGTTGTTTGATTTAGTTTCTGTTGAGTTTTTATCTTGAAATCTTACAGTGATGATTAAATACACAGCTTTAAGCCAGTTCTGCTTCTGAGAATTCATGATTGATAGAGCTGTTATTTACTCTGAGTTTATAGTTTAAAAGACTTTATTTTAGAGAAAAAATCTAAAGATCTGTATGCCGATGATGATTTAATCCAAATGTATGAGATGCTGTGGATCCAAGACCTTGTTTTACAAGGAGAACCACTTGGTGAAGCTGTATTTCAAACGATAATACCGGATTTAACTGAGGTTCTATGTATTTTATCAACTAATCTTTCTTTTTAACTGATTTCGAATCTAATTTTCTTTTTAACTGATTTCGAATTTTATCCATTGAAAGTTTGCTACAATTTATTGAGTTTAAACTATACTCTTGCCATGAAATATATTATGGGTTTGGAGTCTGAAAAAACTCATAGAGTAATGTGTTGTCTATCAGCTTCTTCTTTCGTAACATTAACGAGATTGGAGTTAAATAACAGCACTAGAATTTATCATGTTCGATCATCTATTTTTGGTCAAGTTGATTTTTAGATTTTTTTCATCATAGACCCGTAAATCGTTTTCGTAGTATTTTGCAGTGTATTGTTGTATCGGATGTTTTGCGTGATATATGCGAAACGTATTGTTTAGATATTTTTATCATGTGTTTCTTGGAGTTCAACTTTCTCAAACTGTTGGGCTTTTGGCCTCTTTTGTCTCGGTTGTTTTATCAAATCCTAACAGATTTTTATGCCGAATACTTTATATAGTAATTAGATTAAAATTCAAAAAGAATATAATGCAAATACATTTTTTGTGTTCGACACAACAAATGTAAAAAATCATTCAACCATGGCACATATGTAGAACCCTGAAACTAACCTTCATCTTTAAATTAATCAACAAGCATAAAAAGCTATACAATTTACAAACAAACTACACAAGGAACTGGAAACCAAGTTTGCCATTTGGATATTCAAATTTTCAAAGGGTATCTTCATTTTTTTTTAACATTTCTATGCCACTATTTCTTGTTTTTTTCTATCTCATGGTGTACCCAAGAGAAGGAGAATCAAACAAATGACCAGTTGACAAACATGAAGGCTATACAATGAGGGGTATCGTTGTCATTTAACACCTTCCATGCCACTACACGTTCATACGATACGGGTCTCCCCATGCTTGACAAGCATACACCCCCAGGAAGACAACCATAACCCTAAACAAAAAAAATTATTATTAGCGTTTTCTATAAAACAAATTTTCATCAAAAATTATTAAATAGTAGTAAAATTTGTAACCTGTTGAAGAATCTGTGGGAGCTCTGAAAAAACATTCTTCCTTCCATTTTCATCAAAAATCTTGTCCAATGAAACGTCTTGAAGTGAAACTAACGTTGTCTCCAGCATATCAAGCCCCGCTTGATTAGCAAAAGTGAAAACTGGCAAAGTCTACAGAATCATAATATTTTTTTTTTCTTATTAGGATATTAAACTATGAAAATCACACAATATTTTTCTTGCATTTAACTATTTTGTAAAACATTTTACAAATTAAAAAACAATAAACAAGAAAATAAAGTATCAATGTAATATACCTTGAGAGAGCAACATGTTATGGCATCCGAGTGATTCCAAAGTGTTTTAAGAACAGATTCGCTTCGTCCATCAACACTTTTAAAAAGCTCCTCACCTAAAAAGCAACTGTCGACAAAAAAAACAATAAGAAACTTCAAAAAATGGGCAAAATGAAATAATCAGCATCATTTTACTACTATTTTCTTTACCCGAAAAGAAAAAAAAAAGTTAATATTTGATACCTATAACTTTGTTGGATCCAATGAGTGAGTGTGTGAGCTTCCGGGTTTCCCTGTAAACTCGGAGACCCAAAAGGAGAAGGTGAAAGAGCCAAAGCGACTCTTTGAACAGATGATATGATGCTGCGTACATATTGTCTAGCCATGGATGCAATGTTTTCTTGAAGATGAATCTCAAAACCAAACTGAAACGCGATTGTCATAACTGACTTTGTGGGCCCCGCTTGATTGGAAGCTCTTTGATTCCGGGGTGGGCCCACCCCCACCTCCAGTGTTGATGCCAGGTCACGTGTTGGATTTTGAGTCTGTTGTATAAATCATAAAGTTTTAATGGAATTACAAAAAAAAAAAAAAAAAAAAAAAAAAAGTGACTAAATTGATAAAATAGAGAAAGTACAAGGGCGTTTCTGTATTTTTTGTCAAACACGCAGATGAGAATTGAGAACTGAGAAGGGTGAAACTTTTACCAGTCGGTTATTAATAGGAATAATACGAAAACCAGATGGAAGGAGAGGGGCGTCATCGGTAAATGAGGCATCAATTGGGGCAAAAACAAGTTCTGCAGAGGTCCCGATTGCATTCTCATCAACTCCATTGCAAAGCTAATAAACACAAAACACAAGCATTTGATTTTGATTAGGTCAACAACAAATCATTTGACCTTAGTCAAATTTGGTCAACCAAAATGTTTACTTAAAAAGAAATCCTGAAACGCGGGTTACCTGCAGAAAGAAGATGTCACCAGGCATCATCATGTTGTCTTCTTGATAATGGCCCATGTTTTCAAGCTTAACAACTTCCATGAACTGCATCTTAAAAAAATTAAGCCTTGGAAATTGGCATTTATACTAGCATAAGAAAACGAATCACTAAAGCATTGAGTCAACTTGCCTCTTCGTGCTCAAGGGTATGAGCCAATGGAAGAATAACTTGACTACCGAAGCTTCCATTTCTAGCCATAGGCAAGCTTGTGGGACCCGCTTTCATTGAAGCAGCAGAGTAAGCATCCATACTGCTATCCGCCCATTCAGATCGATATTCTCTTAAAAATCTCATAAGTATCGCAGGAGCCACATCCTACGTACCAAAAATATCAACAAATTAATTTTATATTTTATGTTTTTTTTTTTTTTTTAAATCGAAATTTTAGTTTCGTTTTAGTTTTTAGGGTTTCATTATTACTTGCAATAACATCGAGGCTTTAGCACATAACACTGCGTTGCTGACCACCGGAATCCCATGGGCGGCATACATCTGATTCGCACCCGTCGCCTTTGCCGGAGCCAAGTTTACAAAAACGGTGACGTCATCAACGCCGTCACTTTCCGTCACCGACCATCCCTCGTCCGCGAAACCATTCACGGCTTCATTAAAACCTCTGTTAAAAGTAAAGAAAATATATATATTTTTTTTTATGGTTTCTACCCTTCAAAACAAAAAAGTTTACACTTTCTACCCTCGAATTCCAAAAAAAAACCAGACCTGCTCATTCTCTGGCCAAGTGCACGAAGAGCAGCTGGTCTTCTTCCCCAACTTGTGACTGTTGGCTGAGAAATCTCTTGTGAAATTTGCCTTAAATGACTAAACGCCTGCATTTAACCCAAAAAATAAATTCAATACTTACATTTTAGGAACTAGGGTTTATTATCATGTACTTTCATTTATTTCTACTATAGAATTATACACTGCCATTTATTGAATTTAACATTTTAACCCCTCAAAGATATGATCCTACCGCAAATGTCGTCCTTTGAGCAAGTAAAGTGGATGACTCGTATAAAGGGCGCAAAACTTCAGGAACACTCCATGGCTACATGTTACATAACAAAACAAGTTAATTTCAAAGTTTCATTGAAGTAAGTGACTGATTTGTATTGAAATGAAATGTTGGCATTTTTTGTTTGTTTCTTTTGCAAAATTTGATACATAAGGTAGAAGGAAGTTTCCTCTTTTGATGATACCTCTAAATCAACATGATCAACTATGTGAATTATGGAGCCACCACCTTCACATGGTCTTATTAAATAACCACTTGGAAGCATTTCTGCTCTTACAAAATGAGGGACAGGTGGCATACTAGGACCATTTTGTGTGTTGTTCAATGATCTTTCACAAATCTGAAATCAATATAACATTAGTTTTCTTGAAATCAAATTACAAAATATTAGATTTCTCTCTCTTTTTTTTTTTTTTTTTTTTTTTAAAAAGATTATAATGAAACATACCACTAGGCTACCATCCTCCATAGGAGACGTATACCGTAGTAACCAGAAGTCACGAGCTGGTGCTAAAGTAGTAGGTGCATAAAGCTATAAAAGAAAAAGAAAAAATAAATATAAGAAAGTCAAATTTCATTATGGGTTGAGTTATCTTTTTTGTCCATTTTCTTACATTTCATATGTAATTAATGTATTAAATATGATCAACAGAAATCCTTTCTTATTACTTTTTGGAGGTTGTAAACACTTGAGCATAGTTCGGGTGCCTTTTATACCCTTTTCCCCATTCTTCTTGAGCTAACTTTTTTTTTTTTTTTTTGATAAATTACATATTAGTAATTAAATAGATCGCAATTTTATCGGTTTAGGCACCAAACTTTGTTTTTTTTTTTGGAAAAATTGATGAAATGGTGAATGTACATTGCACTTTTCTGCATTCCACCCTAAACTATAACCCAAATTGACCCATTTTCTTACATGGGTTGACCCATTTATGCATAATTTGACTTGTATTGAAGAAATTCTTCAAACCTGCATATAAAGCAGCTCGATTGTCCCATTATTTGCTGTTGAAAGCACATTAAGAGTATCAACTGCCCTACAGTCACGAAACCAGGATGACCAATCTTTAAGGATTTCAGCAACCTGAAACAAAAAGATCAAGACTTTTGACTATTTGAGTCAACCAAATTGTTTTTTGACTTCAAAATCGACATGGGTCTTTTAATTTTTTCAAGAAAGTTTCAGATACCATATTAATCTTTTTGAAGAACAGTATGAATAGAAAGAAAAAAAAAAAAAGGTTTCAACTTGTTGCGAGAGTATCGATTTTTGGATATGATTAGTATGGTCAAAGACTCAAAGTCAAACACAAAAGTCAAAGAAAGAAACTTACTCGTGTGGGTTCAAGACCAATAAGACCACAAGCTCTTGATGCAACACCCGAGCAACCATGAGAAATAGCAATGATTCCAATGGAATCCGGACCAGGCTACACAAATTAACAAGATTATATTTATAGATAAAAGAAGATATTAAATATTAATAATTAAATAATTAAATATAAGCTAGTTACAAAAATATTTCATTTCTAAAGTTACATTTATAATCTTTCTTTATCTCGGAAATCAATTAAAGCTTGCATGACAACATGATTGCAAATGGAAGAAAAATTATCGAACACTTTTTCTCATGAAACATTTTCCATTTTGGAATCTCACTAAATATGCATTTTTCTTGATTAGAAAGAATTTATGAACTCGTTTTGGGTAAAGAAAGTTCCTTTTTTGTAATTATTAAAAGACCAAACAAGAACATTTGACTCATTTATCTAAAACTAGGTTGATTTAGGCTATATTTGCTAAAAAATTTTAGCTAAAAGTGAAACAAGTCAAATGGGTTCTAACGTGTCAAAACTTGTATTTAAATGTAAAATGCTTACAACCTCATAGAACATTTTGTTAATGTAGAACAATAGAAGTAGATTATTCTTGTAGTAATATAGTTTTTGGATTAGTATTTAATACATTAATTATTTAAAACTCATATAATAATAATAAAAAAAAAAAAACAAATGTTGCAAACTTCAGGGGACTCAAGGTGGGAATGTGGGGATAGTGAGTGAAATGATGAGATTCTAATGTGCTTTAGAAGGTTACCACCTTTCTTTTAACATTATTTTAAATTAATGGATTAGAAGATAATATTAATTAATCCTTAATGGAATGATGATTAAATTAATTTTTTTTAAAAAAAGTGACAAAACAAAACCTTCATCCCAGGCATTTGGACCCATTCCACTGCTGTCCCAGTTGCCTTTGATAGAAACTCTTTTAAAATCTCCTCAGCAATCGACAAAAGCCTACAAAATATACCAAAAAAATAAAAAATAAAAACAAAAATGGTACAAAAAGTAAAGCATAAAGTACAACTAACCCTGCAGGACTTGCATCCTTTGGTGGATGCTGAGGTGTCAAGTGGTGTTGCCCGCTTGTCACCACTGACTCACAACTCGTGTCTGTGGTGGCAAGTGTCACCTATAAAAAAAATATGATTTTAAGTTTTAACACCAAAATGATCTGTTACCTTTTGACTTGATACAGAAAAAACGACTTAATAGAGAAAGTCAGTGAAATGAGGTAATTTTTTATGAAAAAGAAAATGTTGAAAGTGGAATCTTTATTACATTTTGAGTTTGTTGACGAAAGTAGCTGTTTTCATACACCAAATGAGAAACTTGTTTTTGTAATCGATCATTCTCCTCCATTAATAACTTATTCATTGCTGTTAGTTTCCTGTTAACAGCTTGTAGTCTTGATGCCTCCTTCCTCTGCTTCTCCCTACATCTGTATGCACCATAAGGGTATATGAGTAATTTTATCCTACCATAACCATTAGATGATTGTTTTTGTTGTAGACTTGTAGTTGGTATCAAACTTGTTGTTTGACTCTAAATAGTCAAAGAAAGAATCATGGGTAGGTAAATCACAATATATTTCCTATTTTATCCATTTTGCATCAAAAAAAAATGGGACCCACCTTCTTCTTTGTATGTATTATAGGGTTAAATGCACGTTTATGCAACAAAGTTTCACCTTTTTCCCAATTTATGTTGGATTTTCAGACTAAATATGCATCATCGTCAACAAATTGGCATGTAGTGTATGATTGTTGATTCTAACACATCACAAGGTCCACAAAAATCAAGAATTGTACATTAAAAAAAACGAAGTTTTATAAATTAGAATGATACCTTCGATTTTGAAACCAAACTTTGATTTGCTTTGGCTCGATGTTGGATAAAATTGGGCACTCACGAATGAGTTGTTGTCTACGAAGGGAGCTTGGTTTTGGGCAATCGTGATATAATCTTTCTAAAGCTTCAACTTGTTCGGGTGTGTATCGAACATATTTTCCATTATCCATTCCCAAATTGTCATCTTTGGAAGGCGAAGATATCGTCATCATGATTCTAGAATCAAAATCCCAAAATTTAATGTATAAAAAAAGAAAACTTTTTTGATAATTCAAGCATCTAAGCATGAAATCGGAAGTCTAAACGGAAAGCCCTTTTCTTTACTAGTAAACTCATCACACATGTCAATCAAGATTCAAGAATCACCCGTAAAATCAAAATCCCATCTCACTTTTTCAAGAAAATTCAAGGGTTACTATGATTTCCATCTAGAATCTCCATAAAATCAAGATTCCAACTCAATTTTCCAAGAAAATTCAAGAATTAGAAAACTACACATAATTTCCATGGAGAATCTTCATAAAATCAAGATTTTAACTCAAATTTCCAACAAATTTCAAGAAGTAGAAAACCTCACATGAAAAGCACTCAGATTTCCATCTAGAAACGCCACAAAATCAACATTTTAACTCAATTTTCCAAGAAAAATCAAGAACTAGAAAACCCAGATGGAAAACACTTAATTCCAATCAAGAATCTGACTCCTGTAGAAACTTTTAAAGAAAATGAAAACCTTAAATGAAAGAATTATCTGGGGTTGTTGAGCATACATATCAACTATGAGGAGCAAAAGCAAAAAAACATGTGTAGAGTAATGATTAAAGCAAAAAAAAAAACATTCGTCACATCTCATGAATAAAAATATACATATATCCATATATATATAAACACATGTATATGTATAGAAACATAAAGTAAAGATAAGTGTTGAGCATTTGGTGGAGCTTGTGTCTGAAGCTAATACAGATTTTCCAAAATGCTTATTGACCAAGCAATGGTATGATAGAGAGAGATTACTATTACAAAAACCATAATTAATTACAAGCACCTTGTTTTGATGTGCAACGTTGTCGTTTACGCTTGTTCTTGTCTACTTTCTTAATCAATTTCCCTCACAACCACGCAGCTCCAAGCACGAAATGAAAATCTTCCATTATCGGATCACTCGAGATTTATAAAAACCAAGCAAAAGTATGATAATTTAAAAGAAACCCAAGTTGTGGTTTCGATAAAATCTTTTTGGGTATGTGAAATTGTGTGTGTATGGAGGGAGGATTTTGAAGGGCTGAGAAGGTGTTAAAGGGGAACCCCAAAATAGGAGACAAGAGGAGACCATTTTTGGATTATCATTCCATTTGGCGCTGTTGCTTTTCTTTCTTTTTCTTGCTTTCTTTCCAGTTTCTACCACACAAAAGAAACAGATAGTGGATGTTTATTTTATTTGGTTTGGCAATTGGCAGTGGCACTTTCAACAAGGTGGACTTCTGCTGATTTTAAGTTGCTTTGGTCCCTTATCTTTTCTTACCCAATTTGTCCTAAAGAAAAAAGGAAAAGGGAATGATGCCTCATGGAAATGTTTCAACTTTGAATATCTTGCCAATAAAATTTACCCTTTTTTATGTCATTAATCACCTCTATCACATCACCGTTTTTATGTCATGAACTATAAGGCTAAACGGTGTCATGTCCTTCTTACAGTCGGCCGGCCACCTAAGCTGAGGAGGATATGTTTGTCAATTTTAAAGTTTTAAAAATGTTTCGGGTGTGGTCTTTTATGCTTACCGCCAGCAAAAGAAAAAAAAAAGAGGGTCAAGTTGAACAAGAAAAAGAACGGTGGAACCATCGGCGGTAAAAAGGATGTCACGGGGCGGTGTTTACCAACAATAAAAAGATCCACCTAAGCTTACCATCATTAACAAATGCAAGACACTTTTTAGCCTTAAAACTTTAAAATTCCAATTTTGTTAAATAATAAACAAATCTTAAAATGGCTATTGACATAGAAGTCTTTAAATTTGATAAGTTTTGTTATCATCTTTTATAGATTATAATCTTTGTAAATCCCAAAAAAGCATGATGTGTGTTTGAACTACAAAACTTTAAAATTCCAACTTCGTTAAGTAATAACCAAATTTCAATAAGTTTTGTCGGTTTTGTCTTTGTAATGATTTTTTGTTCGTTAATATCCAAAAATATGCACACACATATATATATATATATATATATATATATATATATATATATATATATATATATATATATATATATATATATTTCTTGTTATCTGTAACAATAGGTTTTCAGTATACCATTAAATCAAATTTGCAAAAAAATTCTTAAGTTTATAAATATTTTATGTTTTTACCCTAAGTATTATATATATATATATATATATATATATATATATATATATATATATATATATATAATTCATACAGAAAAAATGTATTTATACATGAATTTTTTTAAGTAAACATTGTATAAATTCGTTTATTAGAAAAAAAATACTTAAGGTAAAAATGAAAAAGTTTTGTAAGCTAAAAGAGTTTTTTTTTTTTTTTTTTTTTTTTGCAAAGTTTGATTTTGGTAATCTAAAACCCTATTATTAGAGAAGAAGAAGAAGAAGAAGAAGAAGAAGAAGAAGAAGAAGAGTAGATTTTGGACATTAACAAACAAAAAGTCATCAAAGAGATAAAAGTGATAAACCTTGGCACACGTACGAACTTTTATGTCAAAAACGCATTTCAAAATTAGTTTTTTTTTTAAACAGAAAATATACTAATCTACTTCTAAATTATTCCACATATGTCCACAACAGGACTTGAACCCTCGATCTCAAGGAGGGAGGTCAACATTGGATAACGTTGGGCTAGAAGTCCTTTCTAGTTCTCAAATTTTATTTATTTTCCATTTATATGATGTGGTATTAATCTCCAGGAGGTCTTCTTGACAAGTGATACGACGAGGATCTAGTATCTCATAGAGAAGAAAAACGTCAGTCGTTCCCCGGAAGGGAATCCCAAGAAAACACTCTGAAAATCAAGTTAATGGATTGAGAGAGAATGATTGTATTCAATGTATGAGTGTGAGAGAACTCCCTTTCCGATGGACGAGGGAGCCCTTTTATAGTTAGGCCTCATGTTGGGTCTGTACTAGAGACTTCCTTGACTAAAATATGGATAATGTGCTTTCACTATTATAGGCACAATACTACCTTCCACATTTATACATACTCGCTCCAAGGACTATTCCATACTCCCAAGTTACTTCGTATCACTTCACTAAACTCCTAGCACAAATACATATGTCTAACCATATGCATAATACTACTCTTCCTAGACTCTCTCTAGGATCATTCCCTTCCCACAAACTTGCAAGGTGAATAAACCTCAACTAACATCACAAGAAATGTATCACGAATGTGCAGCGGTACACAATCCAGAATGGAATAGTCATTCAAATAAGTGTCTCTACCCTAAAACCACAACCTAATAAGACCAAAACTAAAATTCTAAGGCTATTAGATTCTAGTTATGTACAACCCTTATGACATTTGACTAACAGTTCAACAATATTAGACAAAGATTCCAAAACACATACTGTAAATATCACATCAAAGGTATACGAGGCATCTATACAAATCGGGTAATTATATCATGCAATTCTTGAACATATCCATAGCCTAAAATCTAGAATGCATATCAATCCATAACACAAATACACAATCATATAGGTATATTGGTAATCACTCACTTCATGAGCTCGAACAAACTGTATGCACCACATCCTTTTTTATAAGTTGAAGTTAGATCAGGAAACCATGCTTACAATCTCAAGCCAACAATCAAACAAGAACATGACAGAAGACCAAACTCATGCTTCTGACCCAACTATTTACTTAAGTCTCTTTGAATAAAAGCATTCTTTTTCGAAAACTTAATTTAGAAAATCTCCCAGTCTTTAGTTTGAATTTAGACACACCATAAGGCGCGCCCAATAGGGTGTGCAGAAAACCGAAAAACCAAAAAATTGAGCCGAAATTGATTCCTTTGAATTGAAGCAGTTTCTCGATCATTAAACCATAAATACAATCTAATTTGATTGTATCTTAAATATAAAAAATTATTGTAGTTTAATTATAATACATTTTCATGCGTAAATCTAAATGTATGTGTATATTAGCAATCTTTGATTTTTTTTTTTTCTGATTTTTGTTAGTTTTTTATTTTCAGATTTTTTTTGTTGAAATGGAATTTGGTTTTTTACTGTAGTTTGATTGATTTCTATTTTTTATATTTAACGGATACCCATGAACCGAACCATGGTTACCTGCCTTTATGCGGTTCGGTTCGATTCGGTTTTTTAGCAATTTGGTTCGGTTACGGTTAGTGCTAGCAAGGTACCCACCCCGCTATCACCGTTCACAATTTTTTTACTATCTGATCCGAACTACCCCATGAACACCCCTGGCGCCCAAATCCCTCAAACCAAGGGTTTGATACCAACTTGTAATCTCTCTAAAATTACAAAGAGAGTTCTACACTAAAAAAAAAAAATTAACTTATTAAAACCTTTAGCTTAAACACAATAAGCTTTGTTGATTCCCCGACTTGTATGTGGATGCTCAAAGTAGCTTCTTGTTCTATTCTAAGTGTTTTCATCTGTAACATCATGTCATTTTTTGCTAGCTTCCATAAATTTAAATAACATTGACTCAAGAGCAGACATTTTCTCAAATTGGACTCGTTCTTTTTAGTAGAGATCGTGCTTTAGCTGGTTAAGTTCATTTGCATCTCGATCTATATTGTATTCCAACTCACAATCCTTAGTAGAATGGGGTCCCCCACAAGCTCCGCATCTATCTTGAATTGATCCACCTAATTTCGTGATTTTCTCTTCCATTGCGTTGAGCTTTGAAATTACAGCACTGATAGCATCTTGACCTCGATATTTACTTGATTTTTCTTTAGTGAAATCCTCCTTTGGGTTGTGATATTCTCTTGAATTCTTAGCAAATTCTTCAATCATAGCTTTATTTGTTTCTGGATCCTTCTTTTTCATGGGCCATTGTGATTCTAGAAATTGGTGAGTGCACACATTGACTTCATCATAAATTATCGAGATTTCTTGTTGCACATTGAAGACAAGTTGAGGGCAATGTTGTAATAATCTCTTGTAACATTCCCAATATCCATATAATGACCCCCCTTATAATTGTTGAAAACTTTGTATGTTTCTTTTAAGCTTTGCCACTTTTGAAGGAGGGGTAAATTGGTTTATGAACATAATTTTTGTATGTTTCTTTTAAACTTCACCACTTTTAACAATTCCTTAGCTTCACCCTTCAATGTGACCGGAAAAAGTCGAAGCATCACCACATCTTCACCCACGTTTGATTCATTAAAATAATTTAAAATCCCCACCGCCTCTTATGTAACATCCTCCACTGACACGTATCACAATATTGTCAGCTTTGGGGGCTCGAAAACTTCCCAGGGGGTCACTCAACCCTGGTTTTGCTCGCCCGGACATGCTTAACTGTAGTGTTCTTATGGGATATGTTTCCCTCACAAATTTAAAACGCCTTATGGTACGGAAGGTATCCACACTCCTTAAAATGAGTATGATGTTCTCCTTCCTAGCTGATGTGGGATCAGGTGTGATCCATCTTCACCCCCCCCCCCCCATTATAGGGTTTGATGTCCCTATCAAACACATCGACTCGTGTCCTAACTCTGGTACCATTTATAACATCCTCCACTGGCACATATCAAAATATTGTCTGCTTTTGAAGAAGAAACACATTTTGATCACATCCAATTCTCACGACATGAGCTCTCTACTTCACGTCGTGATCAAAGTTTTTATACACAATTCGAGCATTTAGTTCTTGACTCACATCGTGGCTCTTTATACTCATGACATGAGGTATCTTAAAAACGTGATTTTGATCTTTCTTTAAGCCATAAAATGTGGCGCATGTTTTACCACATTAAAATGTATTGACTTGAAGTTTCTTGCACCACACTTTTTAGAGTTGCGAGTTTTTGGTTCACACTTTTATTCGACAAAATTTATGAGTAGCTGCCAAAGTCTAGTTCCAATAGAAATTCAATATGTTTAAGCTTTTCCACACCATTTTCAAGAATTCGATCTCGCCACTACCACCTCAGGGGAGCCTGTTCCAATTCTTCCTATTTATTTATATGTTCTTTAATTGTTGAAGTATGCAATGGGGACATTTCATCATTTAAGTGTGGGATAGGGTATGAATTTAGGAATGCAAGCATACCGATAAAAATATTGAAAAAATGACTAGGATTTTTAAAAATTATTAGAAATATTTGAAATAATAATCTAAAATTGAACCTAGTTAAAAATTTGTTATATTGAGATCTAGGTTGCTAGTGTTGTGTGGGATGATCCGATGCGGGTTTCAATGTTTATTTGAACCAATATATGTTATAGTGTATTTGTAGCTTCCCTATCCTAGTGAAATCATGGAACAAAAACACGACATTGCTTAGCTTGAGGGTCATCATATGTTTAACATTGTGTACCAGAAATGTATCCATGGGAGCTAAAGTAGTCATTGCACCTTAGAATAATACCTCTAACGAATAAGGGTTGAAGTTAAGTCCCCTTGTTTAAGAATATGTTTTATAGGATTTATAGTTTTGTGTGAAAAAAAGTGAGAAAAGAAAAATATATATATAGAAAAAAAAATTAAAAAGTTTCAAAAGTTTGAAGAATAAGATTCACAAAGCTATGAAGATCAAGAAATATCATGAAGAAAGACTCCAAATTATCAAAGACTCAAGAATAATGCAAAAATTTGCCAGGTATTTGTAATTTGTAATTTTTAGGTTATTTTTCCATATGTATGCTTGAGTGTTTAACCAAAAATATCTTGAGGTTAAGAAAGTTTTATGGGGATGGATTCGGAATGATGCATAAAATGAGTGTTGTTCAAAATAAGTGGGGAAGTGTTTATGAAGATTGTGAGTATTTAGGATTGGGGAAGTTCTTAGGAAAATTTAGACACAAATACATGCAGTGCAATCTTGGAGTAATGGAAAGCTCAAAATGGACTATCTTGTGCAATGTTGGTAGCTAATGTCTTGATATGATAATAATGAAATCAGTTTTGCTTGAGGGAAAGTAAAAGACAAGTGTGGGGTATTTTCATATTGTTATATTTACCGATATATATATATATATATATATATATATATATATATATATATATATATATATATATATATATATATATATATATATATATGGGAGTAGGATCAAATGAGAACACCTAAAAGGTTGAGAATGCGAAAACACTTATCAGCCAATCATTTTATTATGGTATTTAAGTAAATTTCTATTTAATATAATTTTTAATTAATATAATACAATTAATAATCAATATATTATCCATTATTATTTACCTATAATTAACGGATATTCCATAGTTATCGTTGAATTGAAGATACGATTTACAGTATACGATTCATGATTCAGTCAATCGACATTTGTATCTGTAACATCGTTTATGGTTGAAGATAACAACGTAGGAATTTGTTAACCCAAAATATCGATGTCGGACTATTTTGATTACAGTAGCGATGATACCGAACATGATGATCAATATGGTGACGAAGCATTCGACAATAATCAATATGATGAAGACGATTTATATCATTCGGGTGATCAATACAGCGGAAGAATTCAATTATCTGATTATGCGAGTGAAGGTAACAATATCAACATCTTTTAAATACAGTTCATGTATTAAAATCAGTATTGAATTTATGTATATGATGAATAAGACGTGTCATTTATTCTGTACATATTTGTATACGATTAATCATATACGTTTTATGTATTAATTAGTTAATGCTGGTGTATATCAGAAATCGTTGTACATTGTTTCGTAAGTTTAATACAATGTTTCTTAAGTTTGATAAGCATTGGTGATTATGCGTTAATACAATTATATATGATAATGATTTAAATCTTTTGACATAGTTATGTGTATTTTAAAATGAGTAAACACTTCAACTTTGATTACTATTTCACACACATTGATTATGATTAGAAAATTGTTTAGTTTATGAATACGTAATTGATCTAAATTTATATCATGTCTCTCGTGTCGCATTATTGTTTTTTGTTGTCTAAAAAAGCAAGTACAAATCGAATTGATTCTGAAGAGGAATCATTCAATAGTAATGTTGTTGACTCGCCCGGTGGGAAAACCAAGTTGTGGAAACCTATTGTTCATAAAGAATTTATGTCAGATGTGGATGCTACTTATCAATCATTAGAGGAGGCGGTTGAAATGTATAAATTATATGCAAATAAAGCAGGTTTTGGTGTCAGGTTAAATACAGTAACGAGGTTTGGTGACAAAACCATTAAAAAAAGGTATGTAGTGTGCAACAAAATGGGTAAAATACCTAACAGATCAACTGACACTTTGGATCCTGAGGGAACTGGAAGGAATAAACAAAACTCAAACTTCAGAATCACGGACTGCAAGGCATTGATAAAGTTTGAAAGGTTACATATGCGAACTAATGCTTGTAAAATATATGAGTTTGAAGAGAAGCACAACCACCCCCTAGAAACTAAAGAAGAAAGACGGTATTCCAAACGTGCACGACGACTTAGTTATAAAGACAAGGAGTTTATAGTGCATTCTTCAACATCTAACATTGGTGCAACCAAGGCACATAAGTTACAAGCTAGTTTGCAAGGAGGTTATGAAAACATTGGCCATGAAGCAATTGATTATAAAAATTTTAGAAGGAAGATGGGAAACATTATAGGTGACAAGGATGCACAGCTGGTTGTTGACAAAATGAGCATGAGGAAAGATGAGTTACCTAACTACACATTTGAGTATAAATGTGTTGATAGCGTGTTAAACGCAATGTTTTGGGTGGATGAAACCGATAAGTTATATTACAAGGAGTTTGGAGATGTGATCTCATTTGATGCTACATTCCGAACAAATGAGTATGCTCTTATAGTTATCTATTTTTTTCTTTAAATATGAATATTGATGTTTTTTGAGTTTATAATCAATGTTCAATTTGTTTTTAATTACCTTTTTAATACAGGTATGGAATGATTTTTGTGCCGTTTACAGCCATTGATAACCACAAACGTTCAATAAACATTGGAGCAGGTTTGTTAAGCAACGAGTCAATAGAATCTTATCGTTGGTTGCTCGAAGCTTTTTTGAAAGCACATGGAAAACACCCTCAATTAGTGTTAACAGACCAAGATCCAGCAATTCTACAGGCCATTGAAGCAATATTTCCTAGTTCTAATCACCCTTTATGTATGTGACACATTATGAAAAAACTACAAGCTAAGGTGTGTATATTTTGGTTAAAGTTAACACGCAACATGTTTTATTCAGCAATGATTTACACAGTTTACGTATTTTTAAAAATTATTAGCATAGATATTGTTTATTCATCGATAAGCTTATAAAATTCTAATGTTTTTTTAGGTTTCAGCCAATTTTTTTTGAAAAACACTGATTTTCGAAAGCGTTTTACTAAGCTTGTTTGGAATGTCTACATCGAGCCTCAAGTCTTTGAATCAAGGTGGAAACTGATTATGAGAAAATTCGAACTACTAGACAAAAGATGGTTCAAAGACATGTACAGGGATCGAAAGCTTTGGATTCCAACCTATTTTAAAGACATGCCACTACACGGTTTGATGAAAACTACTTCAAGGTCTGAAAGTGTCAACTCATTTTTTAATAAATACTCTAATTCTGGTAGTTTGCTTATCTATTTCTTGATAAACTACGACACCGCAATTGGAAAGCAACGAAATGGTCAACAGAAACTAGAACATGATACAAAAAATACAAAGCATGAAATGACGCTTCCAAGTGGATTGCTAGAACATGCAGTTGCGGTTTACACTAAATGTAACACCCAAAAATTTAAGCCAATTTACACTTTTAAAAACATTTCAAATCCATTAACCATTACGAACTTGTTTTCAAAATGTATCATATCAGAGTATCCCAGAAACAAAGTCATTAAAAGTGAAGAGTTGCACGATCACGCCTTTGCCTTGTCATGATCTCCTGAAGTACCTAAAACTGTAAGCCCGAAATCTTAGTGAGTTACCCCCAAAATACCGATACACATACAGTCCACATAACAATCTCAACACTATCATAACATTACAAACTGAACAGAACAACAAGCACTAGGTCCACAACTCTTCAAGCTGGACTACCCACTGGGCCCTCAGTACGAGTCTGGAATGCCTATCGGGCCCTCAGCTCGTATCTGGAATGCCATCGAGCCCTCAGTATGAGTCTGGAATGCCTACCGGGCCCTCATCTTGTATCTGGAATGCTCCCGAGTCCTCAGTATGAGCCTGGAATGCCTACCGTGCCCTCAGCTCATATCTAGAATACTCTAGGGTTTGTTGGCTACCACACGGAGTAGTACAACCTCAACCCATCCCACATAACATGTCGACATGTAACAGATAAATGCATATACAGATAATCAATCAATGTCACAGGCAATCCTACAAAACTACCCAACTAGCATATCAACTGGCATACATTACTGACTCAACTTATCATATCAATAACTACTGGGATATCAAATCCAATGGGCCGGCCTTGGTGCCTTAGACCCCTTAGAATAGTGAGGATAACTCACTTTGCAACTTCCGAACCGAATCACAAGAGCACAATCGCAAAGCACCGCCTCAAACTCCAATACATATATCCATCAATAACCATTGACATGAATATCCAAATTACCATAATACCCTTGAAGGTCACAGTCAAAGTCCTTAGTCAAAGTCAACCTTCCTGATTAACTCTACTCGCCGAGTCAACCCGTCGACTCGCCGAGTTCTCATATCCAGAAAACTCTCATAGCACGACTTAACTCGCTGAGTCGCCCCAAGACTCGTCGAGTCCAACGATCTCTGAGTTCCATCCTGACCAACTCACTGAGTCCCCAACCGAATCACTAATCCAAGGCTTCAACTGAAAGAGGTTAGGTTACAAGCAGACTCGTCGAGTCCAAGAACATACTCGCCAAGTTCACGACAATCTTTAATGGACTTGCCGAGTTGTTCTTCCAACTTGTCGAGTCCAAGCTCATCATCATAAGACTCGCCGAGTCGCCCATGCGACCCGTAGAGTTACTACACGACTCAATGTCTGATCTCTAGGCTGACTCGCCGAGTCATCTCCCAGACTCGCCGAGTCCATATGTGCATTCTCATAATCTCGAGTCACCGAGCTACTCTTTTGCTCCAAACAATAGATCTGGGTCTCTAGGGTCCATTAGCAACATAAAGTTGCCACCTTTACGTGCTTCTTGACCCAAAATTCCAAAAACCAAGCTAGAAAGGGACTTAACTCTTGGGGAAGGGCTTTTGCATAACAACTAGAAAGGCTTTATGCATCAATGATACATATAGAACCCAAATCTGGAGTTTCAACTCTAGATCCAACTCATGCTTCAAGATCTCATCAATATTTCTCCAACCAAACCCTAAAACTCCATGAAAATGGAACTAGAAAGGAGAAGCTCAAGGATAACGATTCCTTACTTCCGAAATGATCTCCCACTGAAGTATAATTCAGATCTCTTCAAGTCTCCTTGATCCAAGCTTCTTGATCTTCAAGATTCCTTCACAAATCACACCAAATTGCTTACAAGTCTTCTCACAAACAAAATTAGGGTTTCTGGATCTCAAAAGGGTATGCTGAGGGTGGGTTATAATGGGCTTTAGCACCAACTCGTCGAGTATAATCTGCCGACTCGGCGAGTTGGCCACTTAAACCCGTGACAAATCCCACTCCGACTCGGCGAGTAATCATGCCTACTCGTCGAGTCCCTTTCCTTAAATTACAATTTAAGCCCTTCAACAGCACCTCTAGAATTTGGGGTGTTACAACTCTCCCCCACTTAAATTAGGCTTCGTCCTCGAAGCCTACTGCAGTATACGCTTCAGAACAAACCCCTTGGACAACAGACTCCGATTTCTCAATCAACTCATGCTCTTAAAAATCCTACTTCTGTATCTCTCTTAAAATGGCTTATTCGCACGTGGCATCCTTGCCACTATTCCAAGCCAACCATCGGTCTTTCAACTCCATATCACCACATATCAGTCACATATCACCCGATGATACCATCCCTTCAAATCAAGAACACACCTTCGCGCCCTGCGAACGCTAGATACCACAAACACCCACTGAGCCTGTTAAGACACTAATCCATCTTCCTTCGCCCATGATTGGTGATAACCCTGATAACTTGCAACCTGGAACGAACCCTGTTTTCCCTTTTGATTCTATACCTCACGCGCTGACAGGATACCGCATCCTTCAGCTCCCATAACCCATCAACCAACATCTCGCGTAACCACTTGTACCTGGCCCAATCAGCCTCGGGCTGTAATACCGGGCACGCCCATAATAGGTCCAGACTACTCCAATTTGGAACCACTATCCTCCTCCTCCTCTTCCAAGGAGACTAAAAACATGCATACGTATCATCCAACATTACCACAGCCTCAACGGGCATCCTACCCGTAAGAGCTTCCATATATCTTGTACAACCCTAGTGCTTACTATCACCAACTAAAGTACTTTTGATTATCCATTTACACTACTGCTTTCCTTTCAGAGGACCCACACTCTTTCCGGAGTTACATACCTTTCCTTTCCAGGAAATCTACTCAGCAACCCTTACCGCACTTATAAGTTCCATTGAGTTAAAACTCCACTCTACACTATCTATGTAGAGCAACTGTTATTCCCGAACTCTCAAATACTCCGAATCTGATCACATACTAACTAGGCCCACACATGGCCTGCAGCCAACTCCATCATCATGATCAATACTTGGGGCCAGACTATCTCGATTACCATTGCATGGTGACATATTCACTCATTCTCCTCATACTGATCCACTAACACATACAAAGTCTTTAGCATGACTGGACCGCCTTTCCAGGCCTTCAGCCTATCTGGACCACTCTCAGAACCTTCTGCATGTCTGGACCGTTCCTTAAGATCATAATACCATTATATGTGAAACTCGGGTCTAAACTCATAACTTGAAGTTCAAGGACCTACCCTTGTATTTCGCACAAATCTTGTGATTCCTTGCAGCCGATTACGGCTTGCCCAAACCTCAACAATATTTCCATTCCGAAAGCGCTCCAACAGAATAATGAACTACTAGGATCACTAGGCCCACAACCTATGACTGGAATACCCCTACAAGGCCCTCAGCATAGGTCTGAATTGCCTCTGAGCCCACAACATGAGTCATGTATACCCCACCTGGCCTTCAGCTCATGACTGGAATGCTCATGATAAACTATCAACCTTGTCCAAAAGAAAACCTAACCAACATACTTTACAACACCAACCTGTACTACCATGTTGAAATCCCACTATGCATGATCCACCTATAGATCAAGTTGCTTATCCAAGCAAAATCCTGCAACCCTTGGTCGCACTCGACCCCAGAATAGAATGATAGATGAAATTTAGATCCAACTTGCAGACTATAACCCATAACTAATCACACGTACATCGAATCAACTCTAATGCCATCATAAATACCCACCATTACACATGAAGAACCACTACCATGAACATAATTAGGAGTCCTTAACTTTACATTCACTCGACACAAAGCCCATACTGGATCGATACTGATCCGATTCTACCAATACAGAACTAGCCCGAGAAGACTTCCACAATTATCCCGAAGGTTACCGCAACACGAGTCTAATACAAATCAAAATTCTATTTCACCATTGGGGAGAAACATACCCCAAAGACTTTGGGAACATAAACACACTGCATAAGGGAATGGGTGGAACGATCCTAGCATCGCAACTGTCGCCTATTGAATCCCATTCGGCGAATTCCTGCTCCCTGAGGGTTCACAACTTAAAATCTGTCCGACCATTCTGGAAAACATAATCTGAGCAGTAACAAACAAAACCTTCAATGGCTGATGCTCAACCTGAGAATTACCAATTCTCCCCCACTTAGAACACTAACCACCACCCACTGGTGTGAAGCCCAACATAGTTAAGTTGACAATCCCTGATGCTTGAATGATCCCACTCTCAAATCTTCAAGTCCAAAGATAGATGCTCTACTAATACTTCAGCAACAAGCTATTTCCCTTGGCGATCTCATACGCCAATTAATAATGATTAGTAAAAACCATTGAATCCTGACAATGTCGAATAACCATCTTGTGGAACCCTATCCACAAACCTCCCACATAATACCCTTTTTTTTTTTGAATCCCTGATCTCTAATCACCTACAATCCTTTGATAATAAATTTCTCCTAACACCTCCAATGGCCTAACCACTCATTAAACTTCGCGGCACATAAATCAAACAGAACAGGAAACTAACCCGAAATTACAGCTTGTCCACATTCAACAATATTCCAAGACAAAATAAAAACCGATCATGGACAATTTGACCATAATATTATTACAGAATGGGGGCTTTCCAACTACATACCAGCGACCTTTTGTGGCTCGACCTTGAACTCCTAAAGAACAATGACTACTGGAATCTGAATTCCTTCCATCCTCAATGCAGGACAACTAGGCCTGAAATGACCTGGCTGGTGACAGTGAAAGAGTCATACAACAATCAATGAGGTACTCTACATAAGATAAGGCATCAAAGATCAGGAAATCCTATCATATGGTTCCTGAGGTTCCCTATCTTAGTACTAGCATTTTGTCCTAACATATCACAATATCAAATAACGGTATGGTAATTTGGGGTCTACTTACTGGCTCCGGCTTATCGTACACTCTGCATCCTCCTTTACTTATTTTGAAAACCTTTTAAAATCTTTTTCCTTGATTTGAGACTGGATTCATACGAGTGTTCCTCCAATTCACTCAAACCAAGGCTTTGATACCAACTTGTAACACCCAAAAATTTAAGCCAATTTAAACTTTTAAAAACATTTCAAATCCATTAACCATTACGAACTTGTTTTCAAAATGTATCATATCAGAGTATCCCAGAAACAAAGTCATAAAAAGTGAGGAGCTGCACGATCACGCCTTTGCCTTATCACGATCCCTTGAAGTACCTGAAACAATAAACTGAAACTGTAAGCCCGAAAGCTTAGTGAGTTACCCCTAAAATACCGATACACATACAGTCCACATAACAAAATCAACAATATCATAACATTACAAACTGAATAGAACAACATGCACTGGGTCCACAACTCTTCAAGATGGACAACCCCATGGGCCCTCGGTTTGAGTTTGGAATGCCTACTGGGCCCTTGGCTCATATTTGGAATGCTATCGAGCCCTCAGTATGAGTCTGGAATGCCTACCGGGCCCTCATCTCGTATCTGGAATGCTCCCGAGTCCTCAGTATGAGCCTGGAATGCCTACCGGGCCCTCAGCTCATATCTAGAATACTCTAGGGTTTGTTGGCTACCGCACGGAGCAGTACAACCTCAATCCATCCCACATAACATGTCGACATGTAACAGATAAATGCACATACAGATAATCAATCAATGTCACAGGTAGTCCTATAGATCTACCCGACTAGCATATTAATTGGCATACATTACTGACTCAACTTATCATATCAATAACTACTGGGATATCAAATCCAATGGGCCAGCCTTGGTGCCTTAGACCCCTTAGTATAGTGAGGATAACTCACCTTGCAACTGTCGAACTGAATCACAAGAGCACAATCCCGAAGCACCGCCTCAAACTCCAATACCTATATCTATCAATAACCATTGACATGAATATCCAAATTACCATAATACCCCTTAAGGTCAAATTCAAAGTCATCGGTTAAAGTCAACCTTCCTGGTTAACTCTACTCACTGAGTCAACCCGTCTACTCGCCGAGTTCTCATATCCACAAAACTCTCATAGCACGACTTAACTCGCTGAGTCGCCCCAAGACTCATCGAGTCCAACGATCTCTGAGTTCCATCCTGACCAACTCACTGAGTCCCCAACCGAATCACTAATCCAAGGCTTTAACTGAAAGAGGTTAGGTTCTACGAGCAAACTCGCCAAGTCCAAGAACAGACATGTCGAGTTCAAGACAATCTTCAATAGACTCACCGAGTTGTTCTTCCAACTCGTCGAGTCCAAGCTCATCATCTTACGACTCACTGAGTCGCCCATGCGACTTGTCGAGTTACTATGCGACTCAATGTCTGATATTTAGGACGACTCGCCGAGTCATCTCCTAGACTCGGCGAGTCCATACGTGCATTCTCATAATCTCGAGTCACCGAGCTACTCCTTTTCTCCAAACAATAGATCTGGGTCTCTAGGGTCCATTAGCAACATAAAGTTTCCACCATTATGTGCTTCTTGCCCCAAAATACCAAAAAAAACAAGCTAGAAAGGGACTTAACTCTTGGGGAAGGGCTTTTGCATAACAACTAGAAAGGCTTTATGCATCAATGATACATATAGAACTTAGATCTAGAGTTTCAACTCTAGATCCAAATCATGCTTCAAGATCTCATCAATATTTCTCCAACCAAACCCTAAAACTCCATGAAAATGAAACTAGAAAGGAGAAGGCCAAGGATAACGATTCCTTACCTCCGAAGTGATCTCCCACTGAAGTATAATCTGTATCTCTTTAAGTCTCATTGATCCAAGCTTCTTGATCTTCAAGATTCCTTCACAAACGAAATTAGGGAATCTAGATCTCAAAAGGGTAGCAAATAGGTTGAGGGTGGGTTATAATGTGTTTTATATAGGGCACAACCCCGAGATTAGGGTTTTCTCCCTTCAGCACCAACTCATCGAGTACAAGCCCCGACTCGGTGAGTTGGCCACTTAAACCCGTGACAAATCCCACTCCGACTCGGCAAGTAAGCATGCCTACTCATCGAGTCCCTTTCCTTAATTTACAATTTAAGCCCTTCAAAAATACCTCTGGAATTTGGGGTGTTACACTAAAACCGTTTTCTATGAGGTCAAAAAGGAAATATTTAAAGCAACCTGGTACTGTTCTATTGACAATGTTGAAATGATTGATGGGTGGCAAGTTGTTATGATTACACAAACGGATAAGAGCAAACAGTTGAAGATAAAATGCAAGGTTATATTCATCGTTTAAACGCTATTCATTAGTGATCATACAAGTAATTATATCATTATTTTTAAATTACATATACTTGTTTCAATATTATGCAATAACCACCAACTAATATGTTAATTCAATCAGTTACTAACATATATAATTTTTATTATACAATGTAGGTTGAACTAAAGTTGCCTGAAAAAGAAGTTAAATGTTCATGCAATCACTTCATACGTACTGGCATTTTGTGTCGTCATATTTTTGATGTATTGAAAAACAACCATGTTGAAGAGATTCCAGAGTAGTATATTCTTAGAAGATGGAGAAGGGATACATTTTCCGGCCATTTGCTTGCCATGAAACATGTTGCCATGGAAACAGAAGATGACACCTTTAAACTTCTAACAAAGGCATACAACAATATTGAATACTGCTTGGATCATTTCAAAAGCAGCAAGGAGAAATTGCACGTAACTTGAAGCAGGCAGCAATGGAGTTTGGCAGTTCAAACCAAACATCATCTGATAATGATGAAGAAGAAATTATTCGGATGCTTGGAATACGCAACATTCCTGATGAAATAAACATCCATTCACCTTCATCTATACGTACCAAAGGTAGTGGAACTAAGAAAAGAATGGTTAGTGCTATTGAGAAAGCTGTTGCGACTGCAAAGAAAAAAACCAAAATTTGCACAGGTTGCAATCAGTATGTTAACCATAATTGGAGGACTTGCAAAGTCAGACTTGCACGAGAGTCAAAACAACCTTAAAATGGCCCATTCGTTTGCCCAATAGATTTTACTTTTCTATTAGATTTATGAATAAGAATATGTTTCTATGATTTAGTATGTTATTTTATCTTAAAACATCTTCATTATTTTAAGCATTTTGTTTTATTCAACAATGAATAATAGCATAAACAAATATGGTAATCCTAACAAATTAATGATATTAACAGGCATTTAAACCTCTGTTATTTGTTAAAACAGTTTGCACTTTGAATAGATATATTTTTCTTTTGTTGAAATTATAAAAACATCAATCATTATAGACTATAGTCATATACAATTCAAGCAGTATTCATAGTTTATTGTATGTTGTTAGTGGTATATCATAATAACAAATGTTTGTACGATTAACTTTTAAAACACCTATACATCATATATTGATTTATGTTTGCTTTTGGGTATATTTTAGTCATAAGTTTAACCATAGTAGACTTTAAACCCTTTGTTATAGTCAATAATGAATAATGTCATAAATACATTAATTACTTTCAACATATTAATGATATGAAAATTGTGAAATACTCCTCTGTTAAGTTAAAACAATTTGCATTTAAAGTATAATATGTTATGAATAATTCATGCTTTTTATGCTATTATTCAATATTGAATTACAACATACTTTAAGATATAAAAACAACAACAATCATTATAGACTATAGATATATTCATTTAAATTATTAAAACTTTTGATTGTATGGTCATAGTAGTATAGCATATTAACAAATGTTTGTTAGTAAGAATCATTGATGAATATATATTAAAATTATACCAGTCATGTTAATCATCATTTTTTACATAATTTCATTTTTCAAAAGTTAATGTAAAATTATAACTATTAAAATATCACCATTCCATTACTTGTATTAGCAAACCAAAAGGAGCTATTGTACGTTTTGCAACCCAAGTAAATATCCTTAGCATACAAAACCATTGTTTTAAAACTATCCAAAAGAAAACATCGAAGTCACAACTAAAATAACTTTTTTAACATAATTAACTAAAATCATCCAAACTCGTGTGAATTTGTTCCTTTGCAATGGCCAACAGTTGAGAACATTGTGTTTAAGGAATCTTGTGGAATTCATCAACCTTTTGGAGCATATAAACTTTTTGCACATTATATTCATGAGTGATAATTTTGTATAAATACTTTGTCCTCGGTTTAACAAGTTGATCATCTTGTGTAGAAGACTCGTTCTTGAACCCAGCTTTAAACTCATTCATACTTCCACCCATATACGTTTTCATGTGACGCATCGTAAACACACCAGAATCAATGTGGTTGTTTATTGTTCTCCAAGGTATTTCCAGTCTATGTGGCATCACAGGTGAAACATCTCAGCTTTTGGATGATTCTGAGATTTTAAGTAATCAACTATGTACTATTTCTGAAAATGTAAAAAAGATTGTCAACACATATGAAATTTTATTAACTATGTAATGTAACTTTTATTAATCACTTACTATGATTTGGGGCAACCGACCATATCTCTCATCAATATGATCAACTTTGTTGTTGTCAATGATTACAAACTCTAGGTGTTGTAGATTGATCACAAAAAGGAAAATGTGGAAGGAACGGATGACCGGTAGGAAAAGCTGCAACGTTTATTCATTTACATGTATTCACTTTATTTAATATTTATATTTGATTAATGATAAATAAACACACAAGTAAACTGTTCAGATATATATCTTACCAATCCAACGTAATGTAGGCTTGCATCTATATCTTCAATAGAAAGCACCAGATTCTCAATTAATTTATCTTTACTTTGACTTTCTGTTAAATCACTTTCAAGATACGAATTCTGTAATCCATTTTTAAAAACTCATTAGCTTATTTGTATTTTGTATTTAAAAAGTAGTATAATCAACATTGAACAATATTAAATTATACCGTCACATCTGTCTTGCAATAAACTCTCAGAGGCGATTTAGGTGCACGCTTACTTTCATCAAGATTCAACACTTGACTCGAACAATCAATCACATGACCAAATATTTCACATGCTGGAAAAAAACTTTCCATGTGAAACCTCTCAGTAGAAAAACCATCCAAAGTGTGGAAAACTATATCACTGCAAAAGATGTGACCAATTAATACTATTTTTAACAAGAAACCAACAAAAATAAGTTATTTTAAACATGTTTTAAATGCAACTTATTTTGGCTCTCCATGGAGAGAGAATATCCATTCTGCTACACATTTTTCTTGTCGTGGAACTCCTTTGATGATATCAACAGCCCGTATAATGTAAGGAGATTTCAGATATTCGGATTTCATGCTACGCCTATACCCTCTTCTATTAGACCCCTTTTCATCATTGTTGAATGATACTACAGACAAATGAGTTGGCATTTTCATTTTAGATGGTGGTGTAGTCTGAAAAGATTTTCTTCCAGATCTATTCACGAAGTTTGCATATTCCTGTGACATCTGAATACTACATTTTGTTATCGGGGAGTTGTCAAACTGTTTGTGAGATGTTGCTAGAATCAGCGTACGTTCAATTTCAGCCGCATTATCATACCACCATTAAGATTATTCTAGTTACTCTGATGCAGAAACTTCATTAAACAAATCATTTACTTTGTTTTTCCATTCTTTGACCAACTTATTCTCAGGATATTTCTTGACAGCATCATTTATTTTGTCTTCCAAGACTTTCTTTTGCTGCACTAGCATGTCGTGCATCTCCTTTATTGTTGAAATAGGTGTCTAATAAGGTCACCACAATATAATTACGTTACAAACCAAATAAAAACATTAATATGTCTTTTAGTATTAATTAATACTATAGTAACTCATAATTCAAATGTGAATAAGTAGTAAACTACCTCAACACTTTCCCTACTTCCACTAAAAATTCCCTCTCCTTGATTTCCCTACGAAACTTAATACACTATTAGTTTTTGTACTAATACCCTATTATTTATTAATGATTATATTATATTAATACCTTACACATTCTATCACTAATTTTCACACCTCCTGCATCATTTCCCTGTCAACATGTATGAATATAATTAATTTAGATTATACAAAATAACAAATTTTAAATTTCATATGCATTATTCAATATAATAAAATATTACCTGAACTTTTTCTTGCCCTACATTACTAGTTCCCGATGCTTCATTGATGATTTGAAATGGTTCTTGCAATCCACCCATACCCATACCTATTGTCCTACACTCTACTCTTTCTCGGTCACGCAGTTTATCAACATTCCAAAAACATATTGTTGGTCTGCCTCGTACAATCTTCGCATTGAACACTTTCTACGTATAGCAACTACAACAAAGACAAATAAATGTTGTATTCATTAAATACACTATAATGAATCCGCACACATAAGTCAACCAATATTGAATGACAGCTAAATTTAAAACAACTCTTACCGACAGTAATATAATTGGCCCAACATAGAATCCTTTTTTGCTGTATGGATTCCATGCACTTTTTGTCTCCTTAAGGCAATCAAAAACATACTGTAACACCGCAAATTTTCAGACAAATTTTTCATTTTTAAATTACAAAACTTCTCATAATACATTCCACAAAAATCCCAATAATCAATTAACAAAACACAATTCCATAATAGTTAAATTAATAATCCAGGATCCTCCAAAAGATAACTATTTATCTCGTGTGTACAATCGAACCGTCGCCTTCCCGTGATCCTGAGAAACACCTGAAACACATAACATACAACACGGTAAGCACGAAGCTTAGTGAGTTCACCAAAATACCATAAATACACATTAGCCACTCGAGGCTATAACTCTGTAACACCCTCCGGTCAATGTGTCTTAGTGGGACCCTCCAATCCCACAACTCTAATGGACCCTCGAGTCCTAACTGTATGGACCCTCCGGTCCTAACTTTGTGGACCCTCCGGTCCTAACTTTATAAGCTCATAAGAAATACACAACATAATTCACATAGCCATAATGCAGGATATCGTAGTACTCTAATAAACACATAAGATCAATATATACACATATTACCATAACAACATAAGTCACAAAGACAGTATGCACGATAACATATAACACATAATAAACAAATAAGACCCTCCGGTCGATAGTGTACTAAGACCCCCCGGTCGATAGTGTACTAAGACCCTCCGGTCTATATCTACTGAACCCCTCCGGTCAATAATATACTAAGACCCTCGAGTCACACACAAATTATAACACATATAAGTATAGTGAGAAGACTCACCTCGGGTGGCGAACATATCCTATAAATGTTGCTGCTACACTCCGACTTCTATCCCTAAGCCAAACCCACAAATAACCCCATTAGGATCTAAGACCAACCTTCACATTATTAGGTCCAAACATGGTCCACCAACCTCGTCCATATATTACTCGAGTCCATTGGGCCCACCATGGTCCAATTTTCCAAATTAGGCCTAAACCCTTATATGGACCTTACCCTAAAACCCATCTAAATATTCTAGTCCATATAACTGCTCTTGGATGGCCCATCAATGGCCCAAGTACTAAAACCCAATAGGAAGGCCCAAGTAAAAATTAGGGTTTTCACATAAAATGACGATTATGGTTAAGTATTTCTCACTTAACCCATTAAGGTCTTAACCCATTAAGTCTATTATTCCACTAATAGATCATATAATAAAATTGTCATGGGTTTTATCTTCAGTCCACTAGTCCAAACGTGGTCCCAATAAGCCCAATACAACAAGCCCAAAAATTAGGGTTTTTAGCCCAATAGCCATCCATCAAAGCTAGATCAACCATTTGGGCCAATTAGGGTTCACTATGCCAAGCACCACCCATTACCACCCCAGGTAGTGGTGGTCATGGCGGCTCATGGCGGTGGGCTGGCGGCAACCACAATTTCTAATGGTGGTGGTGATGGTTCCTGTCCAAAAAGTGCATAAATGACCTCCCATATAGAATACACACACCCACAACTACCACCCATGGTGACTGATAGCGGCCAATGGTGGCAGAAAAACGAAATGGGTGGCATCCACCACCTTGAAGTGGTGGTGGTGGTGGTCTCTTTGATTTTTAACTGTGCAAGCCCATAAACACGCTCATAGATGCAATTTGAGCACACAAACATAACCAAATCAGCCTCACAGGTGGCAGACGACAATTAATGGCATAGCTGCGGAGACCCTTGGCCACCAGTAATCACCGTCGGCGGCCAAAACGCCATATACATAACAAATGGCGAAAGGAAGTGGAAACAAATTGCGGTTGAACTTACTGAGCAATTACGATGGCTCCCGGCTCACGCACGATGTACACGTCGTGCATCATGGCCCTCAGGGGTTTCCCTCTAACTTCACGTCCTGTTCTCGGGCGCAGTATGAGGCGGCGCACAATGGTGGCAGCAGGCGGCACATCGCCTGATTGGAATAGCGATGGAGACGACGGGTGGTGGCTAAGGACTCACTCGCGATGGTTGAAGGTGCTTCCAAGGCATGGCGGCCGATCTGCAACAGTGTAGCGCTAGGGTTCATAATCCCATCCGAATAGAAGTAAAACAAGCATACACGATGAACCCGTGTTCCTCCCAAACTATGACGCACATTAAACACTTTTGGTCCCTCCCCACTAATTTATTTTCAATGTAATTCCAAAAGTTACCCTTTAGCCCCTCATTCTATATACTCCTTTGAAATTAGGTCCAAAACTTACCATACACACCCTGATTTCTGAAACCCTTCTCAATTTAAATCCATAACTCACTCTTTTAACCCTAAACTCCAAAAATTATATCAATTAGCTCCCCAACACCAACACCCCGCTAAATATTATTATTTTAGGTCATTATTCATATTAACTCTTATCTGTTTATTTATTTATTTAATATTCGGTATGTTAAAATTCTACCCCACTTAAATTAGATTTCGTCCTCGAAAATTTTCCTTTCCATCCCTTACACGCCCGACAGCTTGAACGGCATGGCCACAAGCCCGAGTATAATCCAAGCCGTTCAGTCCAACAGATTTATCTCAACCAACCATATGTACATGCCACTACTAAGTTCGCTTTACTCCCAACTATATTACATCCGACCAGTAGTCACATGTAACGCCCGCAGGTCCGGGCTAGTCAGTTTAGAGGCAATAGGGGTCGAAAATGATATTTCAACAAAAGATTATTTAGAATAAATAATCTTATCTAAGTTGTATAATATGTCACAAGGTTTCCGTACATATAAAGAACGCCGAAATCCGAGTTATAACGAAGAAGTTATGACCCGTTGAAGTTTCGCGATGGAACCGGCACGGCACTGGGAAGCGTAAATAGTGAATTTACGATAGAAGACTTTTTAGCCTTAGTGATCGAAACAAAAGTCTTAGAATATGTTAAAACGAGAAAATCCATAAAAAGAACGCCCAAATCTGACTTCGTATGAAGAAGTTATGATTTTTCTAAGATTCGGCTTAGCAGTGCACGACCCGAAACTTGAATTTTAGTTCGAGCGGTTTTTGGCTTACGTGACCTAAATAAAATTTGAATATCTCATTAATAGGAACTCAACGGTAAAAATATGGACGAAAACGGAGTCCGGATGAAGGAGTTACGAATTCTTCGCGATCATTTAACAGTCTAAACGTCTCCTACTGTTAAATTTGAGATCGATCAAGAATTAGCCGACGGAGTCTAAACGAAAGTTGTAGATCTTGATTTTACCTACGCGTTGAAACAAAGAACGACAAAAACGGAGCTCGTATGCGAGAGTTATGATTTTTCTAAGTTTGAAGGCTGATACGCGATAGGGGGTGACGTGGCACCACCAGAATTGGACACATGGCACCACCAGAAGGCCACCACATGCACCAACTCGGTGAGTAGGCCCCCCTACTCGTTGAGTCCGTCAGATATTTTCACTATAAATAGAGGTGCCGGGTTCCCTCATTTCCTCACCCCTCAACCCTCTTCTTTCTCTCTCTACACACTCTCTCTAAGCTCCCTAACCCCCCTAAAAGCCTAGGTAAACCCCCTAGCACCCGAAGGAAGCCCCGAGGCTCCCAGAGTCCCGAGAAAAAGGGTCTTTCAGCTCGGAAACGCTGCTCCAGCGAAGCCCGGTTTTCAATAAAACCCGCTGTAAGTGAGCTACGCCTACCCTATCTGTAGCGTAGCTTATGTTTCGATATAGTAATGTTATTAGGTCTTTAAAATAATTATTTGGGCTATTATTATGAGTAATATTGAGTGTTATTTAATGCTTATATAATAATAATAATAGCTAGACTATTAATTAGTCGCGATTATCGTTAGACTAAACCCCTAGTGGTGTTGATACTTGGTTTTATCGAAGGAAAGTTGTTTTGAGAGTATCGAAGCGCTGTTCGAGTGCTGAGTCACCACCTATCAGGTGAGTGCATAGTTACTTTCATCTTACACATAGATATGAAGTATTTTACATAATTTACGTGCTATGTGTGCATATTATCTGAATACTTGTTGTCTATGCTGGATGAATGATTTATATATGTTTTAAATGATTTAAACTGTATATTTATTTTATATCTACAAATATGTTGGGATAAAACATGGGTAGATGAAATAGTTGGTGAGTGATGAAATAAAATAATGAGAGATAGGTGATGATAGGAAGGTGATGATAATTAGGTGAGGATAGTTAGGTGATTATGAATCGGTGATGTAGGATACTACAACCTTGTCCGACAATTTGGAGATGTAGTCATCTACCAGAGTATAGATGGCGACCACAGACTATATAGACAACCCCGTGGAAACACCAGAAGGCTCATAACCTGTAGGTGATGTATTATGAGTTCAAGCGATGTTGTAACTACGTATTCATGAGATGATAGTCTAACCCTTATTATGAAGTACGAGTCCAGACGATGTTGTGGCTACGTATTCATGCGATGATAGTCTAACCCTTATTATGAATTACGAGTCCAGGCGATGTTGTGGCTACGTATTCATGTGATGATAGACTAACCCTTATCATGATTTACAAGTCCAGGCGATGTTGTGGCTGCGTAATCATGCGATGATACCCTAACCCTTGCTAGACACATATTGAGGGAGTAATCCCCGAATTAGTATTGTCTATGCAATGTAGGCGATGACCCTTAGGTAAAGTTCGTAGGAACAATCATATAAGGAAATACGATGTAAGGAGATGAGAAGTAAATATGATATAGGAGATGACCCTTGAGATAATATCTTTAGGGAAGACTAAAAGAAGATAATGGGGATGGGTAATTGGGTTGATTGTTTGATTGTTTAAACATAATAATTATATTATTGTGGGTTGAAAACCCTATGTACTCACTAGGTTTCCCAACCTGACCCACTCAGTTTATTTACATCACAGGTGTTGATATGAAGTCACATTACACTGAGAGATTAAAGAGATGTAGATCACTAGTGTAAATAAATGTAAGTTCCGTTTATGCTTATGTTTATGTATTGACGATGACATCCCAAACGTTTTAACATAAATAAAATACATTTCTTCGATAATGTTTTGATAAGGTATTTATCGTGTTTTTCTGGGAACAAATTCCACAACATTTTTTATGAAAAGAAGTACTCTGGTTTTTATAAAGCATAAACAAAATCGGTCTTTTGTGGCCGTGAAAATGGGGATGTCACATCACACATCATTTCCGACCTCTATCATCTAACACTCACTAACTTCATGCGTGTTGCGGTCCTTCTCAAGCCAAACGAACTAACCCTCCCAGGTCTAGAACATCATATGGAAACCTTAACCTCTCAAAAAGAAATCCATCAGGAATTTGAAATCTCAACTCATCTATTCTTTACACAGATAGGGCCAAACTCAACTTGAGAGTTTGGTTCAACAGCAACATTGGAACCACCAATATCCAACCTGATACTCGACTCATGGCCCGTGATTTGCGAATCTACGCGTACATTACTTCTCCACTTCCCTTCGATTTGTGACAAACTCCCTCCAATTCAAGATATAACGAATCCCGACCATCATGGAGACCCCAGTCTCGCTCCTGGTCCAACCACCAAGTCCCCCAAGACTCCGTCATCAAGGCTACTTAAGCCTAAGAACTCCTCTGTGTCATGCTCTAACTAGGGAATACTACGGATTTCCATAGTCTTACGATACTCTCACACTGACTCGCGAATGCTACAACTCCCCACAGGCTGACATCACTTACTCATTCATCCGTGAGTGCTACGACTCCCTGCAGGCTTACATCACTTACTCACTCACTCGTGAATGATACGGCTCCCCGCATGCTTACATCACTTACTCACTCACTCGTGACTGCAACGGCTCCCCGCAGGCTTACATCACTTACTCACTCAATCGTGAATGCTACAGTTCCACGTAGGCTTACATCACTTACTCACTTACCATGGGCTCTCCCCATGGTTTTTCCCTGATATTACAAAGTGATTACTCCCACCTGGATCCTTCCACTCTATTACCACCCTACAATCTCATCATTAAGCCATCATCATATTGCTCTCATTGAACTCATGCTCCGCTATCCATTATGGACAGGTGTACTCACCCACCCAGACTAAGCATCACTACTCCTAACGCCCATTGAAGCAACAACGCACTTTCTCTCGATACAATTCACATTCTTTGACAATCCTCGTTCGATGACAATTAGTTGATGGGTTCCCACTAGAACAATAGCTATCCGATACTCCACTTATCATATTATAAACTCGAGTCTCAAAGTAACCCAACAACTTAGGGCATCAGACTTGGATACCCCGATACGCCATCGTCAAATCTCACGCTCGCTCGTCTCAACCTTTGATCTTCCATTCATGACATCATACTCGAATGCGTCGATACATCATCATAGAATCTCATAATGTCTTGCTACGACCATTGATCTTCTTCTCACACAACTCATATCCTCGAAATCCTCTACTCACAAATTGAACAAATTGATGATTTGCCCAACAAAATACCCTCGTTCTCCCCCACTTAGGGTTCGAACTATCGCCCAATGTCACACCCAATCAACTTCACTATAGACCGGCTCTTTAGATGTATCATTCCCAACCCAGGGAACGTACCACACAGCACTCGGTGACTTTCCAGAAAAATAACCAAATAACTCCAAGTACCCCGAACCCCATGTGAAAATTCCGGATTCCTCCCCATGTGTCTGCCTCTAGTCACCTTGAACCTCGTCTGGTTGCACATACACTTAATCCAACGGTCCTAGAATAGAACGATCTCCTACTGGACTATCACATACTTCATTCTCAGAATCCTCAATCATCACCCCACTGCAAGATTCGACATACCACAGGATACCTCACTCCCACAGTCGATCTATTGCATAGCCACAAAGGTCTACAACTCCATATACGTCTCTCGTTTCCCTGAAACAATTTTTGATAGACGATGTACCAAACTCAAACAAGTCATACTCGAACCCTCGCTGTCACATTCCCCACTGGTAACGTCTTCCCGGCATAAGAGTGTAACCCAATGCTTTCTTACAACAAAATTACTCTTAGTGCCGATATCGCAACTCTCACAGGGTCTTCTTTTATTCTCCGACATCAGAAACTCACGCACCCATCCTTTCAAAATGGGAAAAAGGGATAAATAACCCTCAAATAGAAACTTGGCGTTATAGGATATCGCCCGACAACTCAACTCAAACTGCAACCCTCCACGGTGCATCATCTCCACCCTTATTTGAGTCTGGTGACTCCAACTGGCACCTCATCAGTCAAAACTCTCGAGATCTAAACTCAGATTTGCCCACCCCGAGCATACCCCATTAAAATCAATTGGCATGGCCCTCTGGCCCTATAACCTCCCATATCTGATCTCAGACTACTCAAACACAACAGGATAACTGGTAAAACCAGAAACACTAACCGCCACGAATCATGGTACTCGAACCATGTGATCACCTCTCAATCTGCTCTGAATCATGGTACTCGAACCATGTGATCACCTCTCAATCTGCTCTGAATCATGGTACTCGAACCATGAGGTCACCTCTCAATCTGCTCTGAATCATGGTACTCGAACCATGTGATCACCTCTCAATCTGCTCTGAATCATGGTACTCAAACCATGCGACCACCTCTCAATCTGCTACTTATAACCTTCGGAATGCTCCCTGCATCTAGTATGGGTCCTATGCTTTCAGTAGTACGGGCCCATACTACCTTCCACATCTACCCATACTTCCACACAAACCATCCCAGAGTTCCTAAGTAGCTGCTCAACCTTCTCAATCACTAATCTCGATACGTGTGCTCGCTTCCCAGTGAAATGTTCTACCCTGTCAGCGCACTAATCTGACCATGATCACTCCATAGGCTCTTCCTAGGTCCTCACACTTCTCCGCCATCAACTACTGAATAACTCCTAATGATGCCAGTCATCTACCTCCTGAATATCGTCATATTCACTTAGTAGCTGACTCCCATCATCGAGAGTTCCACAAAACACAAAGCAAGCAACATTCGGGAATCGAATAATCTCTACTAGCATGTAAAACCACTCTAGGTTATTATCCCACTTGCTCTGCTCATTCTCGAAGGACATCACCGAACTCCATCAACTTCGCCCCATGCGACATCTATACACCCTCCCAGTAGACTCTTCAAATTCTCATCTATGTATCTCTCCTAGATTACTCCCCTACTCAAATCCTTCTCTAAAAAAAGATTCCCGTTGGTTACTCTTACTCCGTACATACTCAAAAGTTTGTCACAATTAACAGCAACTCCTAGGCTAAGGCATCACAAATCAGGCCACTCTAGTACTAAAATATGAAATACCTACCCTATCTCTAGCATGCATAATATCTCATAACATATCTCATAAATATCTCATACTACAAAGTAAGGGTATTTTGGGAAATCACCGTTCGGGCTCTGGCTGATTGCACACACTGCTCTTCTTCGTTTTTCTCTTATAATCTCTTACTCATTTTAAGAAAATTTGTTTCGTTTGATTTTTTTTCTCAAATCCTCAGTTTGAGTCCAAACATACCCGAAGGCGCATCCGAATCCCTCAAACCAAGGCTCTGATACCAACTTGTAACACCGTAAATTTTCAGATAAAATTTTCATTTTTAAATTACAAAAATTCTCATAATACATTCCACAAAAATCCCAATAATCAATTAACAAAACACAATCCCATAATAGTTAAATTAATAATCCAGGATCCTCCAAAAGATAACTCTTTATCTCGTGTGTACAATCGAACCGTCGCCTTTCTGTAATCCTGAGAAACACCTGAAATACATAACATACAACACGGTAAGCATGAAGCTTAGTGAGTTCCCCAAAATACCATAAATACATATTAGCCACTCGAGGCTATAACTCTGTAAGACCCTCTGGTCAATGTGTCTCAGTGGGACCCTTCAATCCCACAACTCTAATGTACCCTCCGGTCCTAACTTTATAAGCTCATAATAAATACACAACATAATTCACATAGCCATAATGCAAGATATCGCAGTACTCTAATAAACACATAAGATCAATATATACACATATTACCATAACAACATAAGTCACAAAGACAGTATACACGATAACATATAACATATAATAAACAAATAAGACCCTCCGGTCGATAGTGTACTAAGATCCTCCGGTCTATATGTACTGAACCCCTCTGGTCAATAATATACTAAGACCCTCCGGTCACACACAAATTATAGCACATATAAGTATAGTGAGAAGACTCACCTTGGGTGACGAACATATCTTATAAATGTTGCTGCTACACTCCGGCTTCTATCCCTAAGCCAAACCCACAAAAAACACCATTAGGATCTAAGACCAACCTTCACATTATTAGGTCCAAACATGGTCCACCAACCTCGTCCATATATTACTCGAGTCCATTGGGCCCACCATGGCCCAATTTTCCAAATTGGGCCTAAACCCTTATATGGGCCTTACCCTAAAGCCCATCTAAATATTCTAGTCCATATAACTGCTCTTGGATGGCCCATCAATGGCCCAAGTACTAAAACCCAATAGGAAGGCCCAAGTAAAAATTAGGGTTTTCACATAAAATGACGATTATGGTTAAGTATTTCTCACTTAACCCATTAAGGTCTTAACCCATTAAGTCCATTATTCCACTAATAGATCATATAATAAAATTGTCATGGGTTTTATCTTCAGTTCACTAGTCCAAACGCGGTCCCAATAGGCCCAATACAACAAGCCCAAAAATTAGGGTTTTTAGCCCAATAGCCATCCATCAAAGCTAGATCAAGCATTTGGGCCAATTAGGGTTCACTATGCCAAGCACCACCCATTACCACCCCAGGTAGTGGCGGCTCATGGCGGTGGGTTGGCGGCAGCTACCATTTCTAATGGTGGTGGTGATGGTTCCTGTCCAAAAAGTGCATAAATGACCTCCCATATAGAATACACACACCCACAGCTACCACCCATGGTGATTGATAGCGGCCAATGGTGGTAGAAAAACGAAATAGGTGGCAACCACCACCTTGAAGTGGTGGTGGTGGTGGTCTCTTTGATTTTTATAACTGTGCAAACCCATAAACACGCTCACAGATGCGATTTGAGCACACAAACATAACCAGATCAGCCCCACAGGTGGCAGACGACAATTAATGGCATATCTGCAGCGACCCTTGGCCACCAGCGATCACCGTCGGCGGCCAAAACGCCATATACATAACAAATGGTGAAAGGAAGAGGAAACAGATTGCGATTGAACTTACTGAGCAATTACGATGGCTCCCGGCTCACGCACGATGTACACATCGTGCATCATGGCCCTCAGCGGTTTCCCTCTAACTTCACGTCCTGTTCTCGGGCGCAGTATGAGGCGGCGCACAATGGTGGCAGCAGGCGGCACATCGCCTGATTGGAATAGCGATGGAGACGACGGGTGGTGGCTAAGGACTCACTCGCGATGGTTGAAGGTTCTTCCAAGGCATGGCGGCCGATCTGCAATAGTGTAGCGCTAGGGTTCCTAATCCCAACCGAATAGAAGTAAAACAAGCATACGGGATGAACCCGTGTTCCTCCCAAACTATGACGCACATTAAACACTTTTGGTCCTTCCCCATTAATTTATTTTCAATGTAATTCCAAAAGTTACCCTTTAGCCCCTGATTCTATAGACTCCTTTCAAATTAGGTCCAAAACTTACCATACACACCCTGACTTCTGAAACCCTTCTCAATTTAAATCCATAACTCACTCTTTTAACCCTAAACTCCAAAAATTATATCAATTAGCTCCCCAACACCAACAACCCGCTAAATATTATTATTTTAGGTCATTATTCATATTAACTCTTATCTGTTTATTTATTTATTTAATATTCGGGATGTTACACATATCCACACCAATCAATGTCACTTAGATCCAGGTCTTTCATGACTTTTGATAACATGGACAGGTCATATGTTCCCATGCTCATCAACTGACCTAGTGTATTACACAGCAGGACAAATATGTTTACTTTAAAGAGTAAATCTGCACATGTTGTTTTCATAATAACTTGTTGAACTGCCCTTGATCTAATATTATCTTCATCATCGAATTGTTTCTTCCAAACAGTTATCGTGTCGTCTGTGACTTCTCTATAAGCCATGGACTTTATTGTAACATTTCCCAGAAGCAGACCCAACATTTCGTGAATAACCTGCCGATTAATTGGTATCTCTCCATGATGAAGGTTGAGTACCATCCTATCTGCATCAAAATTCCCTACAGTATAATGCCCCATAATTGATGCACACCCATCCACTTTCATATTCAACAAATGCCCCAGACCAATAGAAGAAATATACGCTTCCTGTTCCTTGCTAAGGTTATGCATACAACTGCACAAAACATTTAGAGATGTCCGTACTTGTATTCTCCTTGCTTCTTCTGCATCATTTCCTACAACTTTAGTCATTTTCCTTGCTTTCACTACATTTCCTTCTTTATTCATTTGTATTTTAAACTTCTTCACATTTTCTTTGTCATCATTTTTGAAGGAAGTATAATGCATTCTCCTTTTCCTTGTAATCACAGGTTTAGCATCTTCAAAATTAGAGTCTTCATCTTCATTAAGCTTCTTGACAGTAACATTATATTTTCCTGTTAAGACATATTTAACACAGTAAATGATTATAACTAAATTACAAAAATAATACTATACTAAATTTAATTAAAAATAAATCATTACCTGAACATGAGTTTAAAACAACAACTTCATCACCTTTTATTTTACATATATCAAACCGCCTTTTTGTTCTCAATTCATTTTCCCTATGTATTCCATTATCTTCTGTAATGTCAACACTTTCAATCAAACCTGCCAATATGTAGACAACATAATCATAATTGAAGACACTTTGATATACAACTTACATTACATGAAATAATCATTGATACCTTTTTGTTTCTGTATTTTTTTTAGATTTTGAAACCCTTGCTTTTCCTGCAGCAAACTTCTTCACATTAACTTTGGGTTTCATATTATTTTCTATTAATAAATATAAAACAATACAAGTTATTAAAACTAACTACAAAAACAAACTCTAAATAAATTTAATTTTAAACAAATGCATTACTTGAACTTGAGCTCAAAACTACAACTTTAAGATCCCTTTACATTGAATATCTGGTGTGCGATTAACACGTTCCTCCACACCTGTCAAAAAAATAAGACACATTATCAATATAGATTCCAATTGATATTTAACATTTTAATTTTCATTTAATCATCATCACCACCGGTTTGTTTTTTAGTTTTCTTCTTAGGTGTTGAACATTTCTTTTGTCCTTCACTTCTAATCCGAGGTTGTACTATTTCGTTTCCTTGATTGTCTTCATCTTCAATATCAATAAGCAATGGATTGGATTATTCATTAGTGAATTTGTTGAATGTCGTCTTTAGTAATATCCTCTTGCTTTTTGTAACACCCAAAGTTTCAAAGGCCAAGAAAGGAAAGAAAAGCCCTAATTTAAGGGCCGACTCGGCGAGTCCGAGCGGGATCCGGGTCTAGTGTAAGCGACCGACTCGGCGAGTCGGCTAAGGTGACTCGGCGAGTCTGGTCTGTGCGTGGAAAACCCTAAATTCGGGACTTGGAGCCTATATAAATGTCTTAATCTTCTTCCTAGGGTTCCTTACTGCCTCTTTAGCCCTGGATATCAAACCCTAGCCATCACATCTCCTAGTTGAGCCTTGGAAGGTGCTTTAAAGCTTGGAAAAGGAAGAAGGAACTTGGAGGAGCAAGAAGGAGCTATAGATATGGGATTGTGAGTTCATCCTGAGCACTTGGAGGTAATAAACTAGTTCCTGGACCCTTTTTGCACCTAGATCTATGTGTGGTTGTTGGGGCTCTTTTGCCATAATGTTATTATTTTGAGTTAGAAGCCGGATTTGGAGTTGCTACTTCAGATCCAAGTGTTTTAGGGCCTGAAGAAGCATAAAGTATCAGCCATTAAGTCGATTTTGAAGCCCCTTGGCCTTACACCCTAGTTTATGGCATATTTTGCCTAGATCTCCTTCTCTACACGTAAAGTTTGCAACTTTACGTGTGGAATAGGCTTGGGAAGGGTAGATCTATAGTTTGGAGTCCATGCATGACTCTAAAATCCTCTGCATGTAAGGAGATCTGAAGGGACTCGGCGAGTCCTTAGAGTGGACTCGGCGAGTAGCATGAAGTTGTGGAGAAACTCGACGAGTGAGATGAACAACTCGTCGAGTCGTATGAAGATTGCCTTATACTCAGCGAGTCTGTTCTTGGACTCGGCGAGTCAGGTCGCGAAACCCCAAACCCTTCGAGTTGTAACTCGAATCAGTGAGTCGGGTGGAGACTCAGTGAGTTGGACAGGTCTGGACTCAGAAATCGGTAGACTCGGCGAGTCATGGACTGACTCGGCGAGTCGAGTCAGGAATGGAAGGAATCTGAATATTATGAACTCGACGAGTCAGTAGGATGACTCGGCGAGTAGGGTTGACTTGGACCAGGACTTTGACTTTGGACCAGGGAGGACTTGGTTGTCTTTCGTGGGTCAGTTAGACTCAGTGTTGCATTGATATTGGTAGTTCGGGGAGCAAGAGGAGCAGGAGTTCCGTGTGTTGTCAGGCAGCAACTAGTGAGAGCATCAGCAAGTTCAGCCAGTGCAGGTGAGTTTCCCTTTGTGTGAATGGGTCTAAGGCCACAATGCCGGCCCATGTAGTTATGAGTAGAAGACCCGGGGGTTAGCCCTAGGCACAGTATGCTAGTATTGTTTGCAGGACGAGGTCCAGTAATAGCGGGCGGGTGCCCAAGGAATTGTTTATATATGATAGTTTATACTTGTTGTCTGTGTGATACATGTATGTGCCTGGTAGGGAGGTGAGTGTGGGCGAGGTCCCGTATCTCACCAATAGCAGAGTGTGGATGGGGTTCCATATCTCACTAGTAGCAGATTAGGGGCGAGGCCCGAACTAGAACAGGAGTGAGAGTGGGCTAGGCCCGTACCTCACTACCATTAGGAGCATGGACGGGGTTCCATGACTCATCAGTAGCAGGACATGGGCGAGGCCCAGGATAGGCGAGGCCTTAGGACGGAACTAGTTGCATGTGCCAGTTATGTGTTGTGAAATGTGTATGTGTTATTATTTGTTGACGGGCGAGGCCCTGTGACAGGCGAGGCCTAAGTGAAACAGATCTGTATCCGAGCGGGGCTCGAAGCCAGGCGGGGCCGTTGTAGCGGGCGAGGCCCGAGGTAGGGGGCGAGGCCCAAGATTGGGGGCGTGGCCCAGTATGTGCAGTATGTGGTTATGCATGGTATGTGGTAGGGTGGGGAACTCACTAAGCTTCGTGCTTACGGTTTTCAGTTTTGGTTTCAGGTACTTCCGGTAGCGGAGGAAGAGCTCGGGGTGATCGCATGGCACACACCATAGATTAGACAGCCTGGGAATGTTTACTCTGATAACGAACATGTGTTTTGAAAACTTATACTCATATTATGTTTTGGAATGATGACTTTACTTTAAGTAATGATTTATTAAAGAAATTTTTGGTCTTAAATTTTGGGTCGTTACAAGTTGGTATCAGAGCCTTGGTTTGAGGGATTCGGACATGCTCTCGGGTGTGTCTGAACTCAAACTGAGGAATTGGTAAGGAAGTTTTCAAAATGGAAAGACAGTTTTGTAAAAGAGTTTTGAGAAAGAAAATGATTTTAGAAAAGTAAAAAGAATTCGGAAAGAAAAGAACTTTGAAAAGAGAAAAGAGGTGTGGTGCATGCAATCAACCGAGCTCAAGTAAGTACCCCAAAATACCCATACAAGTTTATGTTTTGATTATCAGTTAATAGAGCAGCATGCTAGATTAGGACTAAGGATCTAGGGAGGATGCCTTATGTGCCTGTTATATGTGCTTTTGATCTGCATGATAGTGCTGAATAGTCAGTAGTAGGATAGCCTGATTAGGTTATGCCTGAGTTTATGAGTTGTGTTGCATGCTAGTTCAGATTCTTGCTATGTGGATATGATTGCTTGAGTATGTTATGGTTAGATTTTCCCTTGTCTGAATGTTGCTTGCTTTGTGCATTGGGGGATTCTATGTGATGGGAGTTAGCCATTAGGTGGATACGTCACGTCACATGTGATCAGGGTTGAATAATCTCAGAGTGTTGGATTTGGTCCTATTGCGCAGCTCTTGTTTGAGTCCAACCGTTGTAGGAACGAGTCTTTTACTTGAAGGATTATTTGAGCCTCGTCACATGTGATGGTATCCAGGTGATGGCTAATTGGCATTGCGAGGAGGCCTTCAGCAGCTGAGGACTGGTTTGAGTTGAGTCAAAGGTTTCCCTAGGGTAAGCCTAGGATGAGGTAGTGCTGGGAGCAGTAGAAGTAGAAAAGGGACCTGGTGGAGTCAAAGCAGTTCCTGAGGAAAGTACGGATAGATGTGGAAGGTAGTATGGGCCCGTACTACTGAAAGCAGAGGATCCGTACTCGATTCGGGAAAGGCCGAGACAAGACTGGGAACCTGGTAGTGAGTATGTTTGGTCTCGCAGCAGCGAGGAGTATTCTGATAGTGGTTATGTTGTATGTTTCAGTATGGTGACATTGCAAGAGAGACCAACGAGCGGATCAGGCGCCGAAGAGGGTTTGGGCTCGGGTTCAGGGGCCGAGCAGCTCGAGGAGCGGATGAGGGAGTTGATATCAGCGGAGGTTACGCGCAGTATTCTAGCTTAGACTCCTGTGATCTTTGGCACGGTCAAGGAGGGTATATTGGAGATTTTGGATGAGAGGCTGGGAGCCTTCCGTACTGAGATGATGGCTTTGTTGGGAGCGCGCACCTTGACATTTCGGGAGTTCAGGGCTTGCGGGGCACCAGATTATCATGGGACTAGGGACCCCATCGCTAGCAGCAGATGGTTGGCTGATGTTGCCAACACATTCCGTACGAGCCGGTGTCCTGAGGAGGACAAGGTCAGACTCGCTTCCTGTCTTCTGAAGGACAGAGCGAGGGATTGGTGGGAGGAGATTGGCCACGCTTTGGGTGATGATGCCGCGTTGGACGCGATGACTTGGAGTGATTTCTCAGCGAGGTTTAGAGCGGAGTTTTCGCTGATTATTGAGGTGCAGCAGTTGGCCCGGGAGCTTCAGGATTTGATGCAGACTACGGAGACTGTGGCGGAGATCACCGCCAAGTTCAGAGAGAGAGCCCTTCTTGTTCTGCAGTATGTCGCGGATGAGGAGATGAAGAAGGCACGATATCACGAGATGCTGAGGGATGACATCAGGGAGTTCGTGAGCAGGTCCGGATGTAAGACTCTGGAGGATATGATTTCTCAGGCCAGGGAGAGGGAAATTGATTTGGAGCAGATCCGGAAGAGGAAGCCGGATGAGGTTCAGGTAGCCGCGAGTTCAGGCAAAAGGCCCAAGGGAATGGATTCGAGGTCAAGGGATTATCAGGACCGCAGTCGATGCGGAAGGTGTGGCAGGATGCACGGGGGCGCGTGCAGGAGTGGTAGTGGTGGTGAGTCTGGCTGTTTCAGGTGCGGTCGGACGGGTCATTTTAGTAGAGATTGTACTGCTACCATCACCCAGGGATCAGACTTGATATGTTTTCACTGCAATCAGTGGGGCCACAAGAAGGCCCAGTGCCCTAGTTTGTTTTCAGCAGGACGGGTGATGGCACCCACTCCTGCAACTTTGAGGATCACAGACGGCCGCCAGGGCCGTGCGGAGGCGCCTGCGGTAGGAGGCAGGGCTTTTCAAATGGCTACTTTGGAGATGCGAGCAACGCCGGACATTGCAGGTATGCGACTTCCGTTTTCAGTTCTTTTATTTTGTGCATGATTATATTGTTATGGTTCTGCATCATTAGCGGTTGAGCATTTTATTTTCGAGCGGGTTCATTGTGATCGAGTTATATGCCGTTTGCATACCTTGGTTATTGGTTAGTAATTAAGGGGTGGGTTGTATCGAAGAAGGTTACCTTGAGTGCAGTATTCGTAGCATGCCTTGGTGAGACTCGGTATGTCTCGCTAGTTCGGAGCCGTATAAGTTTTAGGATGGATAGGTTGGATCCTTAGCTATGGTAAGCTTGAGATCCCTCAGCGGATTGATTATGGTAGCAAGGATTGGGATTTCTTCTCATTGATCATCGAGGTGTAAGCAGGATCCAAGTGGGGGAGAATCCTCCGAGTGTATAAGGGTACGGGCACGCGA